CTTCAATTTTCCCACTAGAGGGATTACGCACTCTTTGAGATCTGCAAAATTAGAAATTCTTTATTCTACACAGATTTCTTACTGGTGTATTTCTAATATGATGATCTTATCTTAACTTAAAGGGTTACCACAGCTCAGCAGCTCTTCAGAAGGCAGATGTGTACTTATTTATCTCCTCAAACAGCCTTCCTTTGCAGCCTTCCTTTTCCTCAGATAAGGAATAAGCAAATGCACCAGTGCAAACAAAATGMCTACCCAACAATCTATTTAAAGTACATCCCTTGGTCACATCTGTCTCCTAGCTTTTTTGTTCATGTATGTTTAAATATAATCTTGCAAATGCTTCCTACCGAGTACACTGTATTTTGGCCCTTCACTACAAGAAGGACAGAGGTGCTGGAGCGTGTCCAGAAAAGGGCAACAGCTGATGAAGGGTCTKGAGMACAAATCTGATGAGGAGAAGCTGAAGGATCTGTGGTGGTTAGCTTGGAGAAAAGGAGGCTGAAAAGGGGGCAATATAACTCTCTGAAGCTGCCTGCAAAAAGATTGTAATGAGATGGTGGTCAGTCTSTACTTACAAGTAACAAAATATAGGTTCAGAGGAAATTATTTCAACTTGTGCCAGGGKAGATTTTTGGGTATTTGGAGAAATGTCTTTATTGAAAGCATTGCTGAGCATTGGAACAGGCTGCCCAAGGAAGTGGCTGAGTCACCATCCCTGGGGGTATTTAAAAGACCTATAGATGTGGCACTGAGGGACATGGTTTAGGGGTGGGCCGGGCAGTGCTGGATTAAAAGGTGGTCTCAATGCTCTGAGAGATCCTTTCCAACCTAAACAATTCTATGATTTGATGAGTGCYAGCAGCCTCAGTAGAGGTCCTGAAAATGGACAATGACCACATATTTACACTAACTTAAAGAACAAAAATACCTTACCCCAAATTATCGAACACATTTTCCTTTTCCATACATCTACAGGTTAGTGCAGTTAGTGTCTGTCTGTCAAATGATTTGAACCATATCTGTTTTATTCTCACTGAAGCAGTCAAAAATTCATTCCTATTAGGCTACTGGCAATACATATATACCATTTGACATTTTGCTTACCAGTGTATAACTCTTCAAATCTCTTCACTTTTATCGTTTGCCACTTATTTTTCTTACTTGCCTTTAATATTTTTATCGCTGTTCCTAGGTCCTATTTCAATTAAGTAAGCTTTTTGCCAAGACATTAATATATGTACTCTAACAAAGTTCAGCACAGAGCCTCCAATAACCTGCACTGCATGTGATTAAGTCTGGTCAATAAAACTATTTGAACACCACATAGCTTGATATCCACACGTGCTTAGTTAAATACACTTGTGAGATATGTATTTCTTAAGCCAAAAAACTAGTCAGAGTCACTATTTTCTCAGCTGCTTCATAGCTTCATATATKCAATTCTCCAAGATGAAGGTATTAAATAATGATTTGTCTCTTTCATTTGGCAACTCTATTGATTATTAAATTGCACAGAACACCACCTTCTTGTTTTCATGTCACTGGCAATTGTTAACAGTTATAAGGTGCAATAAGTGCTGAAATAATAAAATACATGCTACATAGATAATGTCTGAAAGTCCYATTTACTGGATGATTTAGAAGCTGAGAAGGGTGACTCACTTTTAATGGAAAGTTTACTATAAATTATCATAYTTTAATTAATAAGCTCCTACCCAAATTTATCAAGTTGTTCAGAAATTATGCTAATAAACAGAAAATAAAATGTTATGCTTTCAGATTTCTGGCAGCAGACCATTTATCYTGCAAGGTCTCCATCAGTAGATTTGTTTCAGTCATACAGATTTCAGCAACTAATTTCTCATTGTCTTGCGACTGAATTAAACAGCTCTCACTAGGATAGAGAGGGAGTCCTGTTTCGCAGAGTCGCAGTCCAGCTCAGATCAAGCTGTGGCCGTTCCGGCTGATGCTGCTCCCTGGGCTAGCGGGTGGTCAGAGACGGCAAATCACGGGCTGTACCGGTGAGCTCCTCCAGCCGGGAGGAGGCTGCTGGATCAAAGCTGGTGMTGTTCCAGCAAATCCCCAAAACTAGAGCGGTCCCCGGCTGAACACAAAAGGACTCCCTCGCTTCAGCGGGACGCGGGCATTCTCCCMGCTCCTGCTCCAGAATTTGGACCTGCAGAACCGAGAGAAATCGCACAGCCTGTTTTCTGTCTCTGCGAACAGAGACAGGTGGTCAGACTTTGAAGAAAAAGTTACGGTACCAAAAGAGAATATGCGTTTTGTGATATACGATACACATACACGATCTGCTGAGCATAAGAGCCTTATGGCCTTTTGATAGCTAGTYTGTGATTTAAAAATAATCTGACATCAGCTCAGCCGATTCACAGATGAACATTTCGGGAGCCTTCCCAGTGCCACAGGACACAGCTTTCCCAGGAGCGGCAATCCAGGAATTGCCCAGGGATCGTCTCCACTTCCGCGGGCCGGGGCGCAGCCTCCTGCTCCTCAGCGGAGCCGTTCGGCCCCGGCCCTGCCTCCCGCGGGTGTGTGACACTGCTGGCGAGAAGCTGAGCCCGCCCCCGTCACCGGCAACCCCGCTCTGACCCGGCGCCCTCAGCACACCCCGCCCCACCCCGCCCTGAGGGACCCCCGCCCAGCGCCCAGCCCGCCCGGGCCCGAGGCAGCGCCCGGCCCGCCCTGGCTGCGCCGGGAAATGCCGCCGCGGGGCCATCGGCCCGTACCACCGCCATGGAGGGGGAAGGTGCAGGGGAGGAGGGCGGAGAGGGTGGTCCCTCAGCTCCCGACGGCGCCGCCCGGCACCGCCCGCAGCCGCGGTGACTGAAGGTCGCCGATTACCCCGCCCGGGCGGCGGCTTCCAGCCCGGTCCCTTCCCGGAGCCCTCGTCCCGCCGCCSCCCTCCCTGCGCGTCCGGGTGGTTGCGGCCGGAGCGCCGGAGCCGGTGCCAGTGAAGATGGCGTATCCCGGGCAGCCGGCGCCCGGCGGCTTCTACCAGGGCGGGGTGAGCGGGGCCGGGGCCCGCGTGGGATGTGTTCGCCCGGCCGGGGGAAGCGGCGGGAGCCGTGTGAGGTGGGATCTGCCCGGCCTCCGGGCGCCGCTCCCGCCGGGATGGGCTGCAGGCGCCAGCTCRGGGCTGCCCGGGAGAGGGGAGGGAGGAGGCACATCCCGCAGCTGCTGCCGGGGGGCCAAAGTCGGTGCGGAGGGTGTCATTCCATGCTCTTCACTTGAGAATCAATGTCATTTAAAGATTTGCACACTTAAGGCGTATTCGTCCAAGTATTTCCCCTAGGGATTTGTTTTGCTCAACTTCTCTGAAGTGGAAAGAAAAATCTGCAGTGTCGTAGTATTTCTTCAGCACGCCTTTTTCTGCTAGTGGTAGAATAAAATTAAACTTTGGTGAGATAGACCCCAGGCTGTATCTAGATCAGTGGTTTGCTCCCGTGCCAGTTTTTTTTACTAATCTGCTTTCATTACAATAAATTAGTATATCAATGCTGAAATTGAGAGTTGTTTTTGGGTTGTGGGTTTTTTTTTCATAAGGAGTTTCTTTTTTGGTTGGCTTGATTTTTTTTTTCTTTGGCGTAGTGTGTACAGAAAACTATAAATTGATAAGTACAGATCCTTAACTGGATCGTTGATTTTAAATTAATTTTTTTCTTGATTTCCACAGTATGGAGGAGCTCCAGGAGGACCAGCATTCCCTGGACAAGCTCAGGATCCTTTGTATGGYTATTTTGCTGCAGTAGGAGGGCAGGTAAACTTAAAAAATGTTACTTACTTCTTGGATTTTTTTTTCCTGGAGAATACTTTCTACCTTTGGAAGGAGGAATGCCTAGTATTTGCAGTGAGAAAAACTGATACTTCAAGTTACAAAAAACCAAAAAAAATATTTTACTTAGCCTATTTGCTATGTATAGGTGTAGTGGTCTGTGTTATAGCTGTACACGTGAGCTGTACTATACGGTTTGAATAATTCTGTTAGTTTCTATATTGTATGAGTAAATACATACATACATACATAAACAKATGTATGCCTATATTTCCTGTATAGGTATATATAGGGAATATACAGATGCATGAAATTTTGTAACTGAATTGTGACTCAGCTCTGGGCTGATAAATGCTTTCAGATTCAGGAGAAAGAAACCAGGAACAATGGAAAGCGTGGGTGTGGAGATGGCCTGGCTAAGAGCAGGAAATGCTGATAGGAAAGAGGTCATTACATGATYTTGATAGACTTACAAATGCAAAAGCAGTCATGAGTTGTGTCAACTTCTGGGTTTATTGGTAGCATAGAATGATTATTCTTTTAGAAGAAAAGCATTCACAACTTTGCTTTTTTATTCCTTGTTGTTTTGCACTGCATTTTTAATTCCTTTCCTGTAATTTTGTGGTATATATTGTTTTTGTATGATCATGTATGTTACTAGAAACAAGTGCTGTTTGAGCTGTATTACAGAGTTTATGAGCAATTAAGTTAGATTTATTGATCTGAAGTTCCGTGTTTGTTGGCCATGTTATAGCTTTTATTGCACACTGGTAGGGTGTGTGTAGATGTAAAACTGTGCTTGGATCTGTAATCCTCAGGTASATACAACCACAACATGAAAGTTTGAATTCAGTAATACTAACTGACGTTCAGATTCCCCCTGTAACTTGGATTAGWTTAGTTCTCTGTGTTACTCTCTTGAATTAATAATGCACCTTGCAGTCTATATCTTATTCCCTTTTAACTGCTTATGAGACCATTGAGACCATGTGTTTTTATAGTRAAGGAGAACACTGGAATGAACTCTGTAGTGTGGCCTCTCTGGGAAGGTGGAGCTCGGAGCTCAGAGCTGAATTGAGCTGAATATGCTGACAATTTGTCTGCCAGCTGAGATACCTCTGCCTGCAGGTGCCACCTGGATATGTGCCAGCAATTCAGCAGTGGAGCCAGTAACTGACGCTGGAAAAATGAATAAAAATATTGTAAAGAGAAAGGGAGGGATCAGCAAACAGGATATGGCCCTGTGGAGAAGAGGTGGCAGCAGCTAGACCTCAGCAAAGCATAGACCGTGCCCAGGCTTCTTAACTGAGGCATGGATACTGGAAGCTGAGGAGCCASTTGATGGCTATGATCAAGTTAGCACTTAAGAATACTTAAGTTAATACTCTGAAATATTTTCTATTTGTAGAAATCACTCCTTACTGAAATAAACTCGGTATTTTTTTAAGTTATCCTTGAAATTTGAGGTGTCTGTTTCAGGGGCCAGTGCTGCAGAAGTAAAAACCCTGTGAGGTGACAGTGAAATGGAATAGATCACTTGCTTTTATGGTCACCTGTGCAACACTGTAAAAAGCCACATCTCAGTTATCCATATGTACTTACTGTAGAATTAGTATGTTTTGGTTATGATTTGCTGCTCTCTATTGTTTCTATGACTATATAATATATAATGTTTTCTCTGAGCTTTCTTTGAAGTAGTTTACAACAGGGATCTTGTCTTTGACTTGATGAATTATTTTCCTTTGTTTACCTAACAAAGTCAAAAATATTGTTTCAAATCTTTATTCAATTGATTCTGTCTTTGCAGGACACAAATTTATTTTTCAGTCTGTTTGCAATGCCCATATGCGTTCTCTAGTTTACCTGCTTATGTTCTAATTGAAAAAAAAAAGGCAAGCATGTTTTTGGTAATGTTAATCTTGATTACAGTCATGATTTTCTATCTTCATCTATTCTGAAGTTACATAGTTCCTATCTTTATKTCAGAAAGTAAAAAGGCTTTGAAGAGATTACCTGCTTAATATTAGTAGCTATTTCAAATCTCTTTTTCTTTTCCCCCTCTGAATATCAAGTGTTAAATACATCTGTATAACCAGACTCATGGAGTAGATTGAAAGCAATTTTGGGTTTAGCTGCCACTAACTTTACATAGAATCAAAGCATTGTTGCTTTTTTTTTTCCAACCTTGTCAAATATCATTCAACATAGAACTACTGTTTGTCCTGTAAACAATGATACTTCATTTCTGAAAGTTACCAGACTGTGCTGTTCCCACTACAGTAGCATATCTCTGTTCTTAAAAAAAAAAAAAAACCAAGAAAAAAAGAGCTTTCAAAAGTGGGTTTAAAAACATTAGGAAAATGCTGTAGCAAACAGAATCATAGAATATGCTGAGTTGGAACAGACCCWCAAGGATCCTTGAGTCCAAATCCTGGCCCTGCACAAGACGCTCCAAGATTCACACCAAGTGCCCRAGCGTGTTGTCCAAATACTTCTTGAATTCTGTCAGGTTTGGTGCAGTGACCACTTCCCTGGGAGCCCATYCCAGTGCTTAGCCACYCTCTGGGTGAAAAACCTTTTCCTGATGTCCAACCTAAATCTTCCCTGACTCAGCTTTTCATCTTTTAATGCTTTACAGAAGTGGCATCACTTTTTGTGTCTACAGATACAATGTTCCATTCCAGAATGAGGTTAAATTAAACTSTGTGTGAACCAGATTTCATGTTGGAGATGTGAGAAATAAAACTTAGAATTCCAGTTCCATTTTTGGCAGCTCATTGCTTTCAATGAATTGGAAGTTGTTTTCCCTACTTGGCCCTGAGCAGCATTTGTTGGAAGTGAAGCATTTTCCAAACCATGTGGATAGSTATCTTTTCTGGGTTTGTTTTGTTTTTCTTTCAAAGTTCTTCATTTTCTGCTTTTGCTTGTTCTGCTAGCAACTTACAATTATAAAAAAAAAAAAAAATCAGGAATTTTTATATTTGTCATTTATGAGGATGTCTTGAGAAGGGTAACTAATTGAATGCCACTGGAAAGGGAATGGGTACTGGGAATAAGCAGCCTGGGAGAGAGTATTAAAAAATAGCTGATACATCTTCTGTTATCGAAAGGATGGACAAATAGATGCTGATGAGCTACAGAGATGTCTCACCCAGTCAGGGATTGCAGGAGCATATAAACGTAAGTTAATTATTTAAAYAAACAAGCAAATCTAAAGCACACTAATTCTTCTGCCCGTAACTAGAAAATGCTTGTAGATGTGCCTTCTGCAGAGCTGGGTTTTTTCTGTGCATGGCAAATGGGTTTGCTTTCCATATCTTGAAAACATAAATTCTCTGTATTCAGTTCTGCACACCAAGGACTTGCCTTCTCAGCATCCTTAGTTTCCCGCTCTGCTGGGCTGTGGAGTTGAAGTGGTTTGTTTTGTAATGGAYAGTTCTTCAAAAAGTGCTTTGCTTTGGTTTAAACTGAGCTTTGATATTGACCAAAATCTGTGGCAGGACTCCTCTGCTAGGATACCTCCTGTTCAGTTTACAGCTTCTGTGGGTAAAACTGGCTTGCTCAAGTGGTGTCTATGGGGGGGGATATAAATGACCACTTCGAATCCAAAATTGTTGCAGATTAATGTAAGAGCAAGTTAATTTTCAATACAACTTGAATTGCCTCCAGATTGTCTACTGTCAGTTTTTCTAACAGTAATGGCTTTTACTTGGATCAAAATATGGTATGGCTGTATACAGGGAAACCAATTACATAATACTTTAAATATTAGAATATGTTATYAGTATATAATTAAAATTTATAATAAATTCGAAGTTTTATGTTTAGACAAAACTGATGATTATGCTTTTAACATAATTCATTTTTCCTTTTTCTAATTTTAACAGCTTTCAACTTAGAGACTTGCAGACTTATGATCTCAATGCTGGATGTATCCTTTATTATGAAATGTAAACATTTTTGCATTACACAAGCAGAGATGAGAGAGTGACAAAAGATTTGGGAAGTGCTTTGTGGTTCCCATTCAGCCTTTACTTGCTAAGTCTTGTGATCATTGCAATTGGGGAGCTACAAAACTCCATTCTTACTAGTTTTAAAGAATAAAAAGTAGTAATAAATGAGGCACACTGTGACCAATCTTTTTGCAGCAAGGGGTATCCCTCCAAGCCTGGGGAACTGTTTCTCCATTGAATATATGAAGGGTCAGGTCTAGTGTCCCAGAATAAAGTTTTGTGCAAATCACTTACTGTGCTTTTCAAATAGGACAACTTTCCAATTTCTAATCTAGTGAATTTTAATAGTGTGTACTACACAGCCTGAATATAATCTAAGTCTCCCCAAATCCTGTTTGATGAATGAATCAGGTTTRATTATATAGCATTCAGCAGTAGGACCTGTGGAAGACTTGGATATACTGTGTAAGGTTGGACTCTTTGGATGTTTTTTACCTAAAACTTAAATTGAAAGTTTTGCTGCTTAAAAAGAAAAAAGCAGAAATGAAAGTGGAAGAGCTCATAGCTCATTGAACAAACTGCTTAGAACACAAGTGAACTGATATAATAATAATTTATTCTTTGGCATCTATTTTTATTTCAGCTACATATTTAATTGGTTGCAGTTGTATAACAGCAGGTTAAAGAGAAGTGTGTCAGCTAAGTAGAATTCACAAAGAGAAAATAGCTGTAGCAGATTTCATTGGGAAGATATGGGGAGAGCAGGTTCTCTAACCCTAGGTTTTGGGCAGTATTACCTCCATCTGTGCTGGGGGATGCTTTAGTTTGTTTTCTACAAGAAAAATTAATAGTAAAATTGTACTAATATTGACCTGCAAGTAAGAGTTTTTAAYTACAGAGAGATGCCTTCCTTTTTGTCTTTGTTGTTGTTTTTGTTTAGTAAAGAAATGTTTTCCTTAGCTTTGAAATCAGAGGGATATGTCTGGCACCCTGGGATTTAAYGAGTTTAAAGAACTCTGGGCTGTGGTCAATGGCTGGAAGCAACACTTTGTAAGTATTGACAGTGATGGAAGTGGCACWGTGGATCGTCAAGAACTGGAGAAAGCCTTGATGACTATGGGTAAGTTGTGAAATGTTCTTGCTTCTGACACTGACACCATTTTTCAGTAACAGTTACCCTGGAGTAACTAATACATTCTATTTTCAATTAAAATCTGTTGTATTCTGCTAACTCACCTGTTAACTTTTCAAAATAAGACTTTTTATTTTCAAATAGGATTTAGACTGAGCCCACAGGCTGTGACTGCAATCACAAAGCGATACAGCACTCAAGGAAAGATTGCATTTGATGATTACATTGCCTGCTGTGTGAAACTCAGAGCTCTCACTGGTATGCTGGATTATAGCCTTGTTACTGTCACCCCATAATATATTTTTATTTAATAAAACCTGATTGTTCACTTATCTCAAGTTCAGCTTTGGTATACTACAAAAGAGGTTTCTTTSAATAGTCTGCAGGCAAAACTGCAACAATTACAGATAACGATTTTTTAAAATTCCCATTAAAAAAAGACTTTATACTAATGCTGGGTTTACTCCAGAGAYTGGAAGAGTTATGTTACCAAACTTGGGAAACTTTGTTTATTAACAGAACATAAAGGGTTGTATATGATAAATACCAAAATTTAGAATGGGAAATTTAGTCTTGGAATGAATTGCAGTATTCTTCTTCAGTTCTTCTGCATGTGATTAGGGGAATTTTTGGAAAATACTGTGTGCTTTTAAAAATTGTTTCTCTGTAATTCTTCTTACCTGGTTTCTGCTTTCTTAATGCATTTTTGCAGATTGCTTTAGAAGAAGGGATGCAACTCAGCAGGGTTTTGTGAATTTCCACTATGATGATGTAAGTGAATTTTAAGGAATCTACTAAAATTTCAGGGTAAAACAAAAGAAAAACTTAAAACAGGAGACAATCAGTAATGATTTGAGTTTGTGCCTAGCTTCCTACATAYACAGTGAGAATCCAAAAGTTCTGGRGCTTGTTGAGTATTGTCTCAAAAAGCTTTTCGTGTATTTTACAGAGTTCTATAAAACGCTGTGTATTTTTTCTGAACTTCTGRCCAGCTTGGTTCAAGAAGATCCGAGAAGCTATATCACTTGCTAGCATCACTTTCTCTGACTTCTTTCTTTTTTTTCATTTTTTATGGTTTTAATGCTTGGTAGGCATTTTTCCCAGGAAAGGTTGGTGGAGGTCTGGTGGGAACAGACGAATCACAGTCAGGCTTGTGGGTCTTGGCTTTCTAGCCACATCTGTGCAGCAAAAAGAGAACAGTAGATTCAAGTCATCCTGGATCTGTGTATTTTAGGGTTTGTGGTTTTTTTGCAGGGGGGCAATGAGGTCCACGTGTGCTAGTTTTTATTTTTATTGTTACCATTGAGGAGATTCTTTGCTATAGTTAACTATTTACTTGTTTTCATATATATTTTGAAGCTTTACTGCTCATGGACTGAATTTCTTTACAGAAAAGTGAGTGACARTGAGTGTGTAGGAGAAAAACACATTCTCTGCCATACCACTAATAAGTGGTTATTCTCTTTTCAGTTCATACAGTGTGTTATGAGTATCTAAATCAAAAGGAAGCAAGCCATGGATGATCGTGATTTAACATTCCAGTTTAATGAGCATCTAAATCAAAAGGAAGCAAACAGTGGATGATCATGATTTAACATTCCAGTATGTGTTTTGCTTTGCCAAATCTTCCAATGATTGTGTATCTCAATATTGGAAATTGCATATTTTATGAAGATATCGCTTTACACAGATTTTTTTTAGTCCTGATAATGAGTATAAACTACTCACGTGCTGTTGTCTTCAACTTTCAATGTGTGGTTATTAAAGCTGCTTTTATTTTCATAAACTTGCAATTCACTATGTATAACTCAAATCATGCAATTGGTAGATACTCAGTAATGTGTCTACTTTTTTTTCCATGATGCTCTAAAATCAGTTTCTGGAGTGCAATTTATATTTTTCTGACTTAAATGGTAGCATGTGTATGACTTCAGAGAATACATTTTMTCTTGTCTTCAAAAAAATAACTGAAAGGGCTTTTGGAGTGGCTGTTTTGCACTGGTGGGTTAGAACATCAGTAAGTTTCAGTTGTTWATTTTGTCAGCGCTTTCAAAGATGAACCCTGTGACACCATGCACTGAGTGTAAGACTCCTGTTGGAACTTCTTGTAAGCAGGGAAGTGACAACACATAGCACTGAACTCTTTTAACCTTGTGCTCTGCTACAGGGGGCTTTGTTCCTGTAAGAGTCTTGCTTTCTTTGTGTCACTATATAAAACACTTCTAAAYATACAAAAGCTGTCCTGTGTCAGTTTCTGCATCACCTGTCCCTTCACATGCAGACAGTCAGTCTTCAGTTACATGTAAATGAAGGTTTCTAGCTCCTCCACATTAACCCCTAGCAAGTGGCCTTCCTCCCTCAATATGCCAACTAATTTACAAGGGCCAAAACCCAYTTGGAAAAAAATCTTGCCAGATTACTCCTTCAGATCACAATGCAACAAGAACATGAGTGTTCATAAAAACAGATACRGAGAGGCAAGACTTACTTGTCTGAGGTTTTCCAAGAGAAAAAAAAAWGTATTTTTGTTTGGTAGAGGTTTTTGGTTGCTTTTCTTGTAAGGATTTTTGAGGGCAAGAGGTACACTGTATGGAAAGGGAGAGCAGCACAACTGTACAGAGGTAGTTCAGACTTCATTCAAATGAAATAAATTAATGAAACTTTCATTAATTTTGATCACTTCTGCCTGCCACAGAGGAGCAATACTTGTTTTACTGCTTGCTGTGAATGCAAAGAATACCAGAAGAATGTTAAAAGAAGTATATTTCTCAAATTAGTAGTTTAGGGCACTTTTGGAGAGGAGCCTTTGCATTAAGGAATGAAAGCAAAACTACATGTGTGCATATGTAGACACTTATGCATATACATCATTGGACAAACAAGAGCTCCTAGATGCAGGAATCTCGAAGAGACTATTATATGCTGTTTTGTGGAGATTGCTGTGAAATCCAGGTATTTAGTTTCTGGGCTGTAAATTCAAGGAGGGCTGGTCTTGCCTAAAGATGCAACTTGTACTTCCTGCTCAAATTTAGAATCCTTTGGATATTGTTTGTAGTTTTATTTCCGAAGCTAGTTCTCTTTCTGCCCTCAAAAATGAAATTTCAAAGGCATAGACAGCATTACACACCCACATTCTGACAGTATATTGTCCTAATTGTACATTGCACATAAAGTTGGGAAACAGATGGAATACTACAGAAATAATTTCTAATGGAATGACCAAAGTCCATAAAGGTTTGTCTGAGCGTAGCAGCCAAGGTTCTGCTGCAGTTCAAAACRTGGACAGCTGCTGATGTTAATAAGAGTATGAAGCAAAGGCTGTTCTTCCTGTAGGGATTTGATTAGACTGTTTTGTATAAATGCAGTGTTCATCCTTACACTGTTAATTTTACCCTAAAAATGACAAGATATGTTTACCAAAATGTTAATTACCCACACAACTTTATTTCTGCTTAGTTGTGTTTCTTGTCTTGTAGTGGCTTTGCTGGGATAGAATTAATTTTCTTTGTAAACCAACCAGCCCAAAGGTTGCCGTGTTTCAGATTTGTGACTAATCAGCATCAGTAACACATCAGTGTTTCAGCTGTTGATGGACAGTGCTTGCACAGCATCAAGGTCTTCTCTCTTTCTCAGTCAGCRATCACAGTGAGCAGGCTGAGTGTGATCAAGAGGCAAGGACAGAATTCAGGGAGGAGAGCTGATTAAAGTGGGCCAAAACACTCAAGACTCAAGCACCGAAAAAAAACTCAAGTCTTTCTCAGTTTATTGCCTCAGGCTGAATTGGCATTTTGGCAGCAGCCAGCCAGCTGGGCAGTGAAATGCTGCAAGAAATCAGTTTGGACCAATAGTGTTTTATTCRGTGATCTTGTAAACACAAACCATAGAAAAGTGGGGGACAAAAGGTGTTCTAAAACCAGGAGAAAATTCTAGCTTCCTTAAGAAAAAACAGCTTTTTGTTTTCCATAAGCATTTCAAAAATCCAGYGTATTCACAGGGACTGATGAGGTCCATCATCTTTCAAGTTTAGAGAGAAACTAAGCTAATAGATACAGATGGTAAGGAGTTAATACAGAGTTTGCTGTCATAGCTAAAAAAAAGCCATCTGAAACCTATATGAAAATTGCTTCCCAATTAAGAGCAGATTCAGTGGACAGATTAAATATGCAAGTTACCTGCTTCAGAGAAACAGTTACTCAGAATTACTGGTTTCTCTTCTCCACAAGGCATACAGAGAAGGATACTTTGGTGACACCAAGTGGGGTGATTGCTCTCGACCTTTGAGAAAACCATTTGGTATAGCTTCAAAGAGGTATTTTTTTCTAGGTTGCCCTCAAACATGCAAACTAAGGAGCAATAATTTTAGATTTGCTTTGAGAACAGACTCTGAAGACAAAGATTTGAGAAGTTCACTGGATCATTTTCAATCCTGGAATTTGAAAAATAACATCTATATTTTACTATCAGCCTTTTCCCATGCATGCAACATTTTTTTTCTACAGGCTTCTCAAACAGTGCTAAATACAACCTAGAAGAACAAAATACACACAACAGGCTTTGTCATTGAAAGTCACTTTACTGATGTTACAATATGTTAGTAACATTGAAAACCACAGGCATTTGTATTAAATACTCTTGTAGAAGTGATTACTGTGACACTGTTATTATTAAAAGTGAGCAGGAATTTAGAACTCCAAATTACAATGATTTGATTTTATAAAAAGCAACATTTTGTTTAGCTACATGAAAGCCAGATTCATTCAACAGCCCAATGCCTGTAATGTTTATGACAAAAATATCACACTCAAAGCTAGAAAGTTGTAAATTGCAATACTTCATTTTGATGTTTGTCAAAATCTTACGCTTTTATTACATCCGGTATGATTTTTAAAGGATTTTAACTAGCAAAGACAACGACATGATGCAAATCATTGTTTTTGCCAATACTAGCCTAGCCACAGTGGTAAAATACGATTCTCCTTGCCTCTCTCAATAATGGCTAGTATGAGTGAAAAAATAGCATYTTTTTACAGCAATGTCCAAGTTAAATATTAGCACAAAATGAAGCTGGCAGCGCCAGTTGGTATATTCCACCCCAAAAGCTTTGCTGAAAGAACTGGTCATACAGTAAATAGTGTTTTCTCCAGCAGATTAAAAATTCTGCAATGTTTTGCTATTCTGAAAAAAATATTTTGCATTTATGCAACAATAAAAATAAGTACTGTATTCTATATAAAACATTACCTATTATAATATATTTTTATCCTTAAGAAAAGAAAAATCAGGTTATATAGTCACAGTTTGAGTATGTCCTGGACTGTATTTCCAAGCATAAAATATGCAGAGTCTACACAGGCAGTGAGCAGGAGTTCTTGTACCAACAATCAAACTAAATCAGCATTTGCTGTTATACAGAGACTTACAATATTGCATGATTAGCTGCTCGYACCACTCTACTTACAAGGTCAGTCAGGCCTATATACAGAATTTCTAACATGGTTGTAAAAATAGACTCTCCATGCTAAAGTTAGAATATATAAGGTCTTAAGGCCTCATGTTGATTTTTTTWAAATAAAAACTTTATTTTTTGAGGAATACAGAAACAAAAACAAAAGCTTGTTGCTTTGACATTTTATGCTCTAGCAATTAAAAACTGTCTTAAGACACCTTTACTTCTCCCTCAGAAAAAAACATGTTTCTTTTTAACTGCACTTCGCAAATTTTCCTCATCTCAGTCTGAGTTAYATTGCAATTATGGTCTGTCTTAAGTAGCAAAAGTTTTTTAACAGTTTAAAGCAGGTTTGGCTGAAGTGATTTTGAAACTGGTGTAGATWGGATTTTAAAGAGCTAGAACTGGTGAGCCAGTTTTGAAGCCAAGTACAATGTCTCAACTATRAGCCATTTCTGTGTTCTGAACTTATTTTTACTGCTTGTTTTCCTTACTTAACTGAGATAACATAGGAGTGTTGACTGTTGAGATGCTTCTCTAAACACTTGCAGAAAACTTGTGGAATGACAAGATACCATGTGCTGGGTGTAAAAGCTGCTGTTTCCAAAGTTCCAGTTTACATCAGCAACCATACTTGAGACACCAGAAATGGTTTTTRTAAGCTGACTTAGAAAATACTTATGTGAAAGGACATTTTTAGTATAGATGATAGAGACTATTACTTCCTTTTTTGTTTCTGGTGAAATCACACTTAAGACTTGAGTCCTATTGCAGCTGTGATTGTATAATCAGTTCCACTGTTTCATTTCATTTCCTCACCCCATATGCAGTCTTGGGATCATAACCTGCTCATATTTGTGCAGTTCATTCAATTTTTTCTTCAGGAATCACAGAATATTCTGGGGAAGGGACCAAAAAGGATCATCAAGTCCAACTCTTAAGTGATGGAGATGGAATCCACAACCTTGGTGTTACTAACACCATGCTCTGACCAACTGAGCACATCAAATGTGATCAAAGTCAAATCCCATATTGCTGATAAATGTATGGTTTGAAAGCATGCAAATAGTTTATCATCAGCTCAACAGTCTGATGGATAATCCAATCTTGGGAAAAAAGCATTCAGTGGAGACTGAAATGCACAAGCTCTTTAAAAATGAGGCAAATAACATCAYATTGTGGTTGAAAACAGTGGTCCAAACAGTCCACTGTTATCCTGTAACACTGATACTCAACTTAGAGAAAGAAGAAGGTGATCTTCACACTTGGAGCAAGAGAAACAGGAAACAGCTCAACTATTTAGTTCACAGACTTGGTGATTTAAGAGGCTTAGCCTTCAACAGTGCTAAAAGGTGAGAGAGACACAGTATGGCTGAGCCACAAAGTGGTTTTACCAGTAGTCATGTGGTTTAACCACAAGTAACCAAGCCCAAAACCAACAAAGTTCAGTCCCACCCCCAGGGGGATGGGACAAGAGAATTGGAAGGGCATAAAGGAAAAAACTCACGGGTCAACATAAGAGCAGTTTAATAATTACAATAAAATAATCATAGTAGTAATAAGAAAAAAACTAATGAAAAGGGTATTAACAGAGAGAGAAATAAAACCCAAGAAAGACAAGTGATGCAAATGAAAACAACARCCCACCATCAACAAACCAATGCTCAGCCAGTCCCTGAGCTGCAGTTCCTCCCTGCCAACCTTCCCCTTGGATTATTGCTGAGCATGGCATCATGTGGTATAGGATATCCCTTGAGTCTGCTGTGTCCCCTCCCAAATCCTTGTGCACCCACTAGTGAGTGGGGCAGTTTGAGGAACAAAAAGGCCTTGGTTCTTTCCACAATGTAGAAGCATTGCTCAGCAGTAACTAAAATTTTCCCTGCATTATCAACACTGTTTTCAGCACAAATCCAAACAACAGCCCAATACCAGCCACTATGAAGAAAATTAACTCATCCCAGGTAAAACCYGCACACCAGTGCAAAATCCATGAGATGTGAGGCATCATCACCTGATTATAGCAARAGCAAAAGATCACAGAATCAGAATGGTTTGGGTTGGAAGGGACGTTAAAAATCATCTAGTTCCACCCCACTTGCCATGGTCAGGACCTTCCACTAGACCAGGTCACTCAGCCCCATCCAACCTGACCTTGAATACTTCCAGGGATGAGGCATCAGCAGCTTCTCTGGGCAAYRTGTTCCAGTGTCCTACCATCCTCAGTAAAGAATTTCTTCCTAATAACTCATCTAAACCTACTATTGTTAACAGCACTGGAAAGATCCTATCCAGGACATAGTGTGGACAGGTGACCTACTTAGCAGTTTTCTGATGTCAGCCAACTCAGAGAGGCTGTTAGTGGATGAATGTTTCATGAAAATGCTTTTTCAGTAGGAGTGAAGAGGGGATGGAAGAGTACAGGGAATCGCTGAGTTTTACATTGAGTGTGATAATTTTGCTTGCAACAACTTGTTCTGGGATTTGATAATAGAACAAGTCCTAAGGCCTAACTGAAGAGCATAMTCCTTTAGGATTGTGGAGTCTAATCCTTTCACATTACATCCTMTCCATTAATCAATTCATTAATGAAATTACAGCAAATTCAGTTAGAAATTGTAGTATATGCATGTCTATAACAGGGTATGTATCCATTCTTAGCTCTTGTTTTGAAAAGAATTGTCACATTATTGTTGATAAGACCAATCAGTCCAAACCAGCAATAGGGATTTGAGTAAGAGAATTTCAGTACACTAACTATTGACACAATTTCTTTCTGATTTTAATTCAGGCTGCAGCTCAAAGATCCACTTTTTCAACAGCACAATCAAAATTATTTCATGAGCACATAAGCTTAGCAGGTTCAACATYTCATAAATCAGGAACTCTTACATCATTTGGAAGATGATCAAAGTCAAGTCACAGTTCAGGTAACTGGCAAGCAGTGACTTAAGTTCACAACTTAAGCAAAGGTAGGCAGTATAAAATTAAAAATCGTCTTGAATCTACTTACTTAAATATAACAAACTGTATGTATATTACCAATCACAACCATTTCTGGTATATTTCTTGGGATTACTGAACTTCTTAATTCAACAAATCCAGAATTAGTACGTAAATCTTTACTTGTTTAACTGTAGSATCATTGTGCAGCATTATTTTTAGACACAATTGCAACTTTTCAGTCTCCATCAGTTAATCATATTAATTTTATTATAAATTACACAAGATTCTTCTCCCACATTGAAATACATGAAGGTAACTGAAGTATAGCTCATCCTGCCGGTCCTATGCTCTTATGAACAATTACTTCTAGTTGAGAACTGACAGCTTCCCCACTTCAACAGACATCTACAACRTAGCTGGCAATAACTACTTATTTTATTAAAATAAAACCAAAATAAAAGCATGAGTCTCAATGAGTCAAAATGACTGAGCTATCTTAGTGACAAGTACTCTATTTTAGTCTGGATGAGGTATTATGCGGCAGTTTATATTGCTATTGCCAGTGTAACTAACTACAGTGGATAAAAATATTTGCAATCTTCAAAGTTATTAATCTGGCAGCTTTCCAACTCACTACACTTTAGAAGTAGAAAATGACAGCTTGTAAGCAGACAACTTCTCTCTTCAACCTCCACTGGCTTGGGAGGCTCACAGAGCCCTGCCAGTTCAGGTCTCCCAAGTTACCAACTTGATGCAAAGTTCTCTACAGACGTTTGCAAAAACCCAGGTCCTGTGATATTCTCACTCTAGTCCACCAAAGTGAAAGTCAACATTTATTTAACTTAAAACTTAGTGCTCACAACTAGAGTTCCAGTCACTATATTCTCCAAATGTGAAGGTGACTATTTAAGGTACACTGCACACATAATTGTATCATCATATGCTACAAACTAATTACACCAAAACAAAAGAAACTGGAAGTATATCCTACATGGAAAATACAGTCAGGAGGGCCATTTGTTTGTGAAACAAGAAGCTATGAACATTGCAGAAAGAGCCAGTATGTCACATCCAGTTCTGTCTGCCAAATCTTGCTGCTTCTTGGTAAGGCAAAATGGAAAGGGAAGAGTAAACCGTGGTAAACATAAGATAATCTAACGGGACTATTCAAAATTACATACCAGTTTGTATTAAAAAAATACCATAAAAGGCACATAATGAAGAGTCCAGTTACTAAAGACAAGATATGAACATGGAACATGTGAATATGGGAAAACCAGCTTCCAGGCAACAGAGTAATACAGCAACTATCAGCAACAGAGTAAAACAGCATAATGTCCTGATGTGGGTGAACCTTTTGAGGGTCCTGCTCAAAGTCCAGTGAAATCAACAAAAGACATATTGATTTCAAGTTATGGCTCAGACCTTAATTTCATGAGCTACACACTACCAACTGTCTTTAATCCAGATATCTACACTCAAAGTAAATCTTCACAAAAAATATTCTGCAGTGCTGATTGATATATTTACCTTTCACAATAGTGCAGAATCTTTCCCTAAAGCAATTACAAGTGACTGGCTCTTTCCAGATGGTCAGTCTGCACCCACTTGTGCTCACTTATATCAGTCTTTTTCCAAATACTTACCAGAACCTCTCAACTGTGAAGGAAAATAATGTGAACACCGAGGCCAATATTTTGTCATAATCCAACATACAGCCTAATCATAAAATATAATACTTCTAAAAATCTTACATACTTTACAGCTGCCAATATCTTAATTTAATCTTACATATATCTGACTTTATTGAGAGACATAAAAGTTAAAAAAATACATTAAAAGGCTGCAAGTGTTGGGTTCACTTACTAAAGGAAATACATGAAAGAGGTAGAAGATTCAGAAACACCATAGATGTTCCCATTACAATAATATCTAATTAATCATACAGCTGTTGAGTAGGGTATTCAACTGCACCACACAAAGTCAGGTGTTTTATTCTGCAATGGTACTACCTGAAGCTAAGAAGTAGTCCATTTTTTAAAACCAGAGACTTATAAACTGATTTACTATGGTCCAGTTTCTTACTGACTGAAAATTCCCAATCAGAAGGTATTTGCTCTACAACAACCTTTAGAAGTCTCAGAGGTTAGAAATATAACCCATCAACTTACAAGATTAACATGGTAAAGAGTTGTTCCCCCCGCATCCCATTCTTTTTAACCTAAATTCACTTGTGCTCAGTTTAATGCCCCGAAAAATTGTCAAGGGGGCTTWAGGGGCAGCAAGCATAGCATTCAAGCACATGTAAAGGCGATTCCAGTAAAGAATAAAAATTAAAACACAGCAATGAAACTGGCCACTTGCCCAGCACTGTTATTACCTAGTGCAGTGAAATCATTATGCTTCTCATAAGCCTATGCCTTGCCATCTAAAACAGTGTCTGAAATGCTCTATCAAAAACACACAGCAACTCTCACAGACGGACTTCACATCACCACATCCTGAATTGACTACTCAGAAGTATTCCCMAATGTCCAGTAAGTTTGGGCTGCACATGACTGAAAGACTCTTGTCTGCCAAATCATTCTTGATTACACCTGTGAGAGGATAAGTGGTCATCTCACTGAACAAGGGATTTTGGCTGGTTCCTCGTATGATGATTTAAGAAAAAGTGCTGCTGTACTGGCTTCCACAGTCTACTGTACAATTGAGATTGTCAAGACAGTATAAGATGCTGAAAAAGTTGTATTGATTTTGGTCAAACACCAGTTTCTGAGAGACACAATTTTACAGTACTGTACTTTCTGTATTTCCAAGGATGTCTGCTTCATAATATTAGAAAATCTGAAGTGTGATGATGTTAGTCATGACTGTTTCTTTAGGCATTTGGCAAAATACACTTAACGTATAACAGCTATTTTTGACATTATTGAATGTTTACATATATACAATCTGTATACTGAGRTTATAAACATGTAAGGTAAAAAAAAAAAGATATAATCTTTGTTTTACATTTGTGTCAAATAGTTGCTTTTCAAAGCTTGAAATCCTGTCACAAAAAAAAAAAATCCTATATTTCTTACTTCCGCATGCTAATCTCTACTACAGTATGTTGTTTTTCCCTTACATGTGGAAAGTAAAGAACACAAGGTTCATGCATACAGCGTACAAGTTTACATTGTCTGGGCTCTCCATGAGGCATGTTCCCAGTTCCACTCTGGTCTGACTCAGGACTGCAATAAACCAGAGAAAAACCTCTTACACAGGACTGGCAAATGGACTGCAGCTGGGATTCTAGGTAAGTGTATCTGTCACCATGCGGAACAGCCTTGTCACATCTGGGCTAATTATTCTTTGTCAAATGTTATGATTTTGGTTGTTCATCAAATCCATAAAATACAAAACAAAAAAGAAAAAAAGACTGTTTTTTTCCTTTCCACATGACAGGAGGTTCTCACTGCGATATCATGGGCATCTCTGTTGATCTTTCAAATTGTCTGAAGAGCAGATGAATGTGCAGTGACTCAGTGATGCTGAGTTTCTATAAAATCCAAAGTAAACAGTTCTGATGTGACCCCAGGAAAACAGTGCAGCTAGATGGATGTCTCCCATAGCTGGAGAGGGGGAAAATGAACACAAACACACATTGAACACCAAGATAAAACAGGCTGTTTCCAAAACAGTCCAAGGAGCTTGTATGGGGAACTGCATCTACATCACTTGGGTCACCAAAACTGCCCCCAGCCTCTGGTGGCTATCTAGTCACCAAGTCACCAGCCAATCTCAAACATTTCAGCATGACTTGCAGTCAGCATAGTAAATGCCCATGGCTGGGACTTCAGAGTTTTCTTTTTGAAGGAAACCTGTCAGTGTAGCATCAAACTTGTACTAGACAGCTTTTACCTTAGAGTTACATGAATATTACTACATTAATATAGCTAGAGAAAACTTCCCATTCTCATCTGCCTAACTTTGCTCGGAGCAGCATGACTTCCTGTTGTGAGTTTGAGCTGCTGCCAAAGCAGCTCCAGGGCTGAGACACATCAGTACAGGCTGGGCTCTGAGCTGCCTTGGGAGACCYTGTGCTGCACTTCATACAACCTGTCCTGAGCAGCACTGGGGGAGCAGCTTGCAGATTCCCTCACCAGCATTCCCCTCCTTTTCTCATGACAAAAAAGGACAGAGAACAGTGATGAGAATCTCCTCAGCATCAGCAACATGAACCAAAGGTATWGCAAGTAAAGCTCCTAAAGCAAATTTCAGGACTTTTTTACTTATTCAAATACCTGCTGTGTCTGAATTGACACAAAGGAAGYAAGAGCCTTTTGGAGCAGCTGGAAATCTCTCCATATGGAGCATCACTATCAACCACACATTCCAGCAGTTCCTGCTCCCTGTAGGGGCCAGGGTGGGCTCAGGTCACACAGTAGCGATGTCTCTCCAGRTCTGCAAGCCCTGCACATGCTCTATTACTGGAACTTTGTTACCTTTTCATAAAGCTGGAAAGCCACTATCCCTGTATCCTGAGTGAGAGTTGCTGGGAGAGGGGGTAAAAAAGGAGAGCCAAATACACCACTTACTCCAGGGCTGCCTGTCCTCCGCAGCCCAAAGGCTACCCCAGGCACACTCTCAGCTTGAAATAAAAAAAGKAGTGAAATGTGGGCTTCAGGACAAGTTTAAGAGCAACCTGAAACGCTGTCGTAAACACAGCCACCAAGGCCTTCATYGCTGCCAGAGGCTCAGCCTTCAGTAGCTTTACAACTTCAGGGAGCAAAGGAAATGCCACTCCAGCTCTCCCTGTTGGTCAAAGGTGTTAATCTGACACACAGTTTCCTTTTGAAAAACTACCAACAAATCAAGTCACTGATCAAATGCAGAGAGAAGAGGGACACATACCCTGGCACTTTGCCTGTTGGCTTTTTTCTCTTCATCAGGAAGTGGTGGCATCGGGTAAGGGTATTTTCTGCTGGAAGCAATAGATCCAGTGGATGAAGATGGAGACTTTGCAGGAGACAGCGTCCTGAGATGTTGAAACACACAAAATAAATGTGATGTCTTTGCATTCTAGCACTGCAACAGCAACTGCCATTACTCTGAAGCTTGGTTCAGAGCCAAGTATATAGCTTATTATTAGCTCAATATCAGGGGGACAAAATTGCTTGATCAGTAGTCTAATAATTTCTTTATATGAATAAAGGTTTTTTTATAGATTTCAGGAACACTGGAAGAAAAAAGGTTGCTACTTCTTATTAGAATTGTATTGCCTAACAAGAATGATTTCTTAAATGGTTTTACATGGGACTGTAATTAATCATTGTAAAATTAATAAAACAAATCTGCAATTGAATAAATATAGAACTAAAAGATAAACATGGCATTATAAAGCCTAAATAGAAACATTAATTATATAATGCAAGCTGAACAAATGTCTTCTCCCAGTGACTAAACAGCAATTATCAGTGTCTTTATGCATATCTTACACATCTCCTAAATTGATACAAACATAGCAAATAATCTGTTATTTCTGTAACATTAACTTACACAAATGCATGCATTTGGAGGCCAAACTGTTAGTTGTGAAGTAACAAAGGCATATACAAAGTGCTAATAACAAATTGTTATACATGCAAGCATCATACAGTGCATATTGTTCCAGCCAAAGAAAGAGTCTGATGAGAATATACAAAAATGGACTGATTAGTCAATGGCAATCAGCATTTCTGTACAAGGTGAGTAGAGTAAGCAGGAGCAAGTAAATGTTCGTATCACATGAAAGGCATTCTTTTCATGTCAATAAGGCAGCAGCACATTATTGACCGAAATTTTATACCCAAGAAAAACTTTTATGCTTCTGTTTTGAGATTCTGCACTTTTCCCACTTGAGAGGTTCCTATCAGGCTCTAAATCTGGGCAGAGTAAAATAAAATAAAGGCCTCAAAGTAGAAAAATTGAGCTACCCTGGTCACCATGTTCTCTTGTGCAGACCAAGGGCATTTACCACACAAAGCCTCTTACTACTGCAGGCACATCACTCAGCCCTCCCTGAGCACTGCTATCTAGTATCTTCTGAGTTAATGTGTCCCTGAAGATGGGAAATTTCCATAATAATAAATGAAATTTAATTATATATAAATAATTGTATTTTTATTTTGGACTATTGTATCATTTTGTTTTATCTGTAGTTCTCTACAACAGCACATTCTCTTGCCTCCCATACAAACAATGACTGATGGTAGCCACAAGCAACAAGGTGTCAATGGAAATTAYATGATGAGAGCTCTCCAGACTGGCTCATGATCCTCTAATGCCTCACATGGTTGTCTGTAAGTTCAACAGCACTTAAAAGATTTACATTGGTACAATTATTCAAACATGGAAGATGTACATCTTCTGCACATGCACATTGATCACCCATTAAAATGAACTGGACATGCATCAATGTTTTCAGAAAAAAAAATGGAAACAAGTATCRCAGTATAAGACAAGTTTTTTTGTATGTCCAGTATCATAAACCTGGGCACCAAACTGTGCATGCAAGGAACAGGCTAATTTAAAAAAGAATTCTAGACAAATGTTGTCAACTGTGTCCTGCTGTTCAATACCCATACAAGTACTCTCATCTCTGCCCCCACTTGTACGAATATGGATCACTAACAAACTATTTGTTTAGATCTATAATAAAAAATATAAGGAGAAGGGGGGGGGGGAAATAAGGAAAGCAGATTTTACGTATTATTAGTAATAAAATTATTCACAAATTTTGCCACACTGCTGSAGCAGAATTTTAAATTTTCATTTTAAAATTTGTAACAATGCACTTGGAGATTAGAAGCAAGGAATGGGGCTTGTGGAATCGGACTTGACAAGCTCTATCAGAAAGCTGCTTATAAGGTAGCACAGCCAGGTAGTGGCACACAGAATGAAGGCATCTCCCATCTCTTTCACCACACCAGGCACAACACCTCCACCACACCACAGGCTCTTCACRTTTTAGACTCTAAGAGAAGGCCACAGTGAGAGGAAAAGCCATGGCCAATGGGCCAATCTACTTGTCCATCCATCTGAGAAGGTGACCCTGGAAGGAGCAATAATCCCCCAAAGGATGAGGCATCTTTGAGCATTTTCCCTGCACAAGCAGGTCCTCTGACCAGCATCCCTAACTGAGCCTTTTAGCCAGGAAGCTTTGCACCATAACTCAAACACAATACTGTCTTTTCCAAAGATTTTGAAGGTCAGGCCTCCAGTGTAGCTGCCTACATTTCCTTCTTCTCAAACCCCCTTAGCTCTGCCTGCTCACCTGCAGTTTGCATGTCTAACTGATGTGAGCTTTGCTGCTCAGCTGCACCTGCAACACTGCAGCCAAAATATCAAGAATGCAGTTGCACACTTACAGAAAKGACCTTGCCCTCCCCTCACATGGCTCACCACTTATTTTTGCTATAGAGTTATGTGCTGGCTTTTGTTATCTTTAGTGCCAGCTATTGAGACTGTGAACATACACAACTCAGCATATGCTCACAAATCTTACAATGCGTCTTCTGTGATAAATGAAGTTGTTTGAGGTGGTTTTGATCACCTTTCAGGTTAGGCCCTGCAATTGTGTATGTGCTGTGTATCCCAGATTTACATATATTTTAAATGAGAAAGGTCATGTCTAGCTCTTTCTCATTTACAGGATGGAGAGACAGCATTCAGGGACACTTGCAGGTAATGCTGGGGTTAAAGGTAGGAAAAACTTGGCAGTTTTGGTAAAGGGTGGGATCCACTTAGCTTTCRCTAGGGTTTCAGTTCTCCTGCAATSAAATCCATTAGCTTTCATGCTAAATGTTGCTTCCAGGTGAAACTTACACAAGAAACCAGTACACACAACGACAGAGATTCAGAAGTTTTACTGCCAACCCCAAATGAAGCCATGCACCTCAACTGCAAAAATTAAAATTTCTGACCAGAAAGCAAGATAGAGTGGCCACTTTGTGTCTGTCTTTTTGTCCTGGAAGCTAAAACTAAGACCATGGGGAGACCATTCTGTGATTCACAACAAAGCACTGGGGTAGCAGGAAGACATCTGGAAGCAGTCCCTGCAGAGCCTACCTGCTCTGCCTCTCACCCCTAAACAGGGAATGCTGGCCCACAAAAAACAGTGCAAAATGTGTGACCTGGTCACAAAACTAAACATCTTGAAAYTTTAAGAGTCATTTTAGCTGAATTCAGGGTCCTGACAGATTTGAACTGTTCACAAACGGAGTGTGATTCTCTTTTGCAGACTGAAATAATTTAATTAAATTCAATTAACATTCAACCCRGTGAAAGCATTTCAAGCCCAAATAYATAKATCCTATCAGCCTAGTCTGACCTTTGCTGCTGTGTATTCAGCTCTTTGTAGAGCATCATCAGCCTAAATGATCCTACATTAGGAAGGTAGGATCTGCTAAAAACACTGGTGAGGCTAAATATTTTCAAATAAGTTCCTTTTAAAAGCCAGAGATGTGCACACATTTCCTCAGAAAGAGCAGCAGCAGAGGGGAGAGCAGGCTCATGGAGGKGCTGCAGAAAAGACAATGGCTATGGCTTGAGCTGTCACTGGGAGCAGTGAACAATGCCTCAGAAACAGGCACTCACATGCTTTAATGAACTCTTCTGCCTAACTCTTGATCTTGATCCTACTGACATCAGGCATTTTTGCATTGTGTGCCAACAATACCAGGATTTTACTTTGGTTTAATAGGGAAAAGCTTTGTTTGATTGTTTTTCACTTTAAGCACARTCTAGAGCTGCCTCTGAGCTCCCCACAGAGGAAGGTAATGGAGATGGTCAGCTGAAGACAAACTGAGAAAAAATCAAGAACACCAAAGTACATTAGAAATTGGAGGCAAGTGACAGCCTACTATCTCCTTCTTCCATGCCCCTTTTCTATGCCCTTTTGATATGGGACAGCTATTTTCTTTCTAGTTATGTGCTCTGGGTCTCCCTTTTCTTTGTAAACTACTTTTGTCTTTAAATAACTCTCATAAAATATAACTTATTGTCAATACTTGCATGAAATCAAATGTAGACAAGGTCAATGTTTGAGAAGGTGCCTTCTCATCTTTGTTGTTGATAATTATCTACAGAAATGTCAKGTTTGGGGCTTCTGGTAGTTTGTTTTCTGATTCCATCATGGCTCCCATGTCTTTCAAGATCCAGTGAGAATTCTCAGTAATCCTTACCTATATTTCACAGGTCAGCCTGTGCAATGGSCACTGTAATTGGTCGTAACAAGAATAAGCAGTAGTAGCACATTCATAAAATAACTCCCCTTACAGCAAAGCCAAAATCAGGGAAAGGCTTCCTGTCTGAGTTTATTACTAGGGTTATGAGGTTATACCCTGGCACATAAAATCTACCCTAGACTTTGAGCAGGAAAATGAAAATATTCTTCACATATCTTATTTTCTTACAGATGGGAATCCCACCCTTGGGAGTTTTCTGATGCCAGAGACACCAGCTACTATTAATACTATCATTAATAAAAAGTAATTATATAGAAATACCCTGCAGACTTTTAGACTACAAAAAAGTTAACTAGGAAATCAGGTGTTACAGAGACAAATTATGACTTATACAGACTTTTTTAAACAGATGGAGAAAATCTTCATGATGACTAAYATCTCTATTTTCTGAGAATCTGCAACAATCCTAGGAATTGTAGAAAGTGTTTTCATCATTTTTCCTCATTCTATTTCAACTCGTCCTACAACAGCACGAGTCAGAAGCATATTATTCCTAAAACTACAGGGGAACAGCAAAACAGCAGTATTACCTTCAGGACACATTTAAAAGAACAGAGAAATCAAAGATGATTAGCAACATGAATATTACTCAGCTAAATATCTGGTGTAAATGTCTTATCCGGGGGCTCTGACTCCTAAAATCCAGACCCAGCTGGACAGTCTGACTTCAGCCTGACTTACTRGTTCATCAAGCAAGATCTGTCTTGTTCTGTTTCTGAATCACTTCACAGGCCCAGGCTCAAAACCCTGCCACAAGATCTCCGGAACCACCATTATTAGTGTTTTTACAGTTTTTTCTRTATTAAGCAAACACCTAAAGAAGTTTTTTTCCATTATTAAGCAAAATTGCACTTGACTTTTGTGAAGAAACTATTAGTTCAACCTCTTATAAACCCATGGCAACTCATCTCAGGAGATTTGATCTTTTGCCTTCCATAATGTATCTGCAGAATACTTCCCCATGATTACCTCAATTAATTAGGCCAATAGAGGTTCCTAAATTTATTTCAGTTACTCTCTCAGTTCTAAAGCTAACTGCTGCAGGCAGTGATTAGTAATCTTCTATGGTGCAAAATTTTTAATTTATTTTCATCTCTGCTGATATATAGTCTTTCAAACTCACATGGGTCAGCTTAATCCTCATCTACATGCCAAAAATGCTTGGTTTATCTCAAACACAATTAGAAATGTGACTCATTCAGCGTAACAGCTGAATACCCTCAGGGGCAGGGTGCACTTCCATCAATTTAATCTAGTTACTAAATCAAGATATACTGATATTAAAAGATGAAAACCAAATTATGAGTATGCACACAGAATTTTAAAGGTGTGCAGCTAAACCATTTAAAGTAACCTATTTTAAAATCGTGCTATCTTCATATTCCATCRATGTCTTTGTTTATTGCTACCAGGGGGCCTGTGATTAAAATAAAACCTGAAAGACAGCTATGGAGTTATATTATGGTGGATGACTCTTGATCTTGCCTGAACAATAAAAGTCAAGAGGCTATTTTTAGAAAAAGGTTCTCACTTCTCATGCGAGTTTGCCTAACTTCACCTTCGGGTGACCTTTGGTCACTATCAGTCTTAGCTCACTAATCTAAAGGACCTTCCCACAAAGATTGTGCTCCATTTGCAGCGATGTGGACTTCATGAGCAGCTCAATGTTCAGCTGAGTTTTTTGTAAATTCTCAGTGTTCAGCTGCTCCATTAAACTGAACAGCCTGAAGCCCTGCAGTCCTTTCTGTGGTCTCCCTGGGCATAGATCTCCTCAGTTCTAGAACATGGTTGCCAAACTGCAGAAACCAGAACTGGCCTCTGCATACCAGTGCCAGAACAACAAGACTCACAATACTTCCTGCTGGAATGTCCAAGCACCAACATGGGAGACCTGGCTGATATCAATTGGCACAATCACAACAACCTCCTGTAAGCCTTGGATTCTTGCATCAAGGATCCCAACTCCCTGTTCAGGACTGAGATCAGGGCTGACAGGCAGTTTAGCCATTTTCCCTATTTGTTCACTGGAAACCTTTCCTGCAGCTTGCTCTGTGATTTGTGAGGTGTTGAAAGCAAACACAGATGGTTTCAAAAAGTAACGATTTTATGGTCTTTTAAGACTTCAGGACATTTTTAGTTCTGAAAGTGACTAAATTTCTGCCCTGCCATATATTATGTGCCAGTGTTACCATTGGATTAAAATGTTTCATTAGTATCTTGTGATATAACTCCCACCACAGTTTTTTCCCAAATGCACACTGGACACATTTAAGTGTATGTTTCTGCCCTGTTGCACTATTATTAGGTCTACTAATTATTAGGTGTAGCAAAATTATTGAGATTATATTTACTTGTTCTTACCACTCTTCCCTGTTTTGACTGAAGATTTTGCTTATTATTCTTTGATTTGTGTTTCTAAAATTATCTTCATTTTTGATACATCAATTTACAGCTCCATTAATTTTGTTCATATTTTATAATATTTGTCATCAATTGTCTTCCATTCTCTCCTGTGTTGCCTGATTTTTTCCAGCTGATGCAGATATCTGTCTCAGCTGTGGGACTGTGTCTTTTGGGAATTTACTGCAACATTCTCAGTCTCTTGATCCACGTCCAACAGGGGGCCAGCCTCATGCATGCTTTTTCTCTGTAACTTGGAATGTATCAGATAATGCACAYTTTTCCCTTTCAAAAATAAGTGATATTTTTGGTTGAATCCTACCTCACTTGTACCAGATTAATTAGCAGTTTGATAATTAGAGCCAGAGTATATTCTCGTACATTTAGTTTTCCAATTACAATATATAAATTATTTCATTTCAGGCAGAGGGTAAAATACTTTTTATTCTTTTTTCATTTAAATTTTAGTATGCACTATAAAAGACAGTATCTAGAGCCAATGTGTTATGAAACCACTTGCTTCAGTAAATTAACATTCTATTTAAGTTAATACTACTTTATTAGTAATAAATATGTCTCATGCTCATAAAACACTACTTGGCATAAAATGATGAGAAAGCTACTACAAGCTATAGATGATGGTGGGAACGCATGCACTACACACACCCTTTCCAATGGCTTCATTACAACATCCAGAAAAAGAATTGTAAATTGCACATGAAGCCAAAAACAGACATCAAAATGCAGCAAAAGAAGAGGGGCCCTTTGCACCTACAGTAACTTGTATTGATTTATACAAGGTAGGAGTCTCAAGATATTTGTATATGCTGGAACAGCTCTTAAAAATGAGAATTATAGAATTAATTTACAAAATACCTAAAGTATGGTCCTTCTGTGTTTTTATTCACATCTTCTACCCACTTAGCTACATTATATTCTCTTTTGAACCATGGGTTTAAATACCTGCAGAAAGCAATGGAAGGAACAGAGAAAGCAGAAGAACAAGAATAGAAAATCTGAGAACACACAGCACAAGCTTAGCAAGGATGTCTTCATCCCCAAAATGCAAGTGAATATGGCAAATAAATCAGTATGGATTTGGGTGAGGACTAGGCAACGTGTACAACTGCATGAGAAAATCTGACCTCCAACAAGACTCATATGTTTGATTAATCTGGAAACCCTTTGGAATACATCRTTCATTTAATGTCTTAAGGGTAAAATTCACTCCTGTGCAGAGGGCCAGCATTARGCTCATGGTCTCAACTCCCTCATGATCTCAAAATAATGATGAAGGGACATTTTGGCTTCTATCATAAAGTTGCTTGCCAAAGACATGTTTTTGCACCCATCTAAAATAAATTGCAAAAAAATGAGCACAGAATCTTGGGTTTGACCCTTTTTACAGGAATGAATTTCAGCCTCAGTATGTTAACAGGCTTGAACTTTTTGCCACTATAGTRACAATTTTAACACTCATAGGCAAATGACCCTCTGATTTTTCAATGTTCATTTAGTTTGGCTTTAATGGAGGTGGGCTGCAGAGTTATCTCACATTTTACAGAAGCAATCTTGATACCAAAACCACATTTTTTTAGGAAAAAAAAGTCTGARCTGTATACTCATATTAATTATACAAAAATTATGAAATAAAGATGAGGTTTAATTATCTGACAACAAATTACCAGGGAAGAATAAAAACGTTTTGTAATGAATTTTTCCCAATAAGAGGATAAACGAATTCCTCCCCTTCATCACGTTAAGAAAAAAGGACAATGCAGAAATCAGGAGTTTGCCTGGTCCAACTTAATGTTTGTTCTTGTTATATCCGAATGGCAAGAATTAAATGATTATYTGTGATCACCATCTTCACATAATACAGATTAGCACACTGAAATAGGAAACAATCTGTAACCRAGGAAAATGGGAAAGAAAATTCTTCTTTAAGTTATTTGATACTTCTGGGCCTGTTCTAGCCACTCTTATTTATGGGAGTGACTCCAATGATCTCACACATGGGAACAGGCCCTGCAAGGGATTGTTCAGATGAATAAAAGTTGGGCCAAATCATGTCATTCAACCCCCTCCATATTTCAAACCACGATGACAACAAAAGCAGCAGCACTTTTTCAACTTCTTTTGCTCCTTTTTTGCTCTGGAACGTCTCCTCCCCACCCCGCGCAAGCACAGCCACAGCTCTCAGAAAGTTYTTGCCCTCAGCCACAAGTGCTTCTAAGTAGCTTCCTCAGCTCACTTATTTATCAGGAATCGGGAGTGCTTTATGCTTTCCAGCTTGGGATCGTAGAGAAAGAAAAYGTCAAAAGTGATAGCGCAGCAAAACAGATGAACCACAAGTGCAGCAATAGCCTGATGCCAGCATCACCAGGAACTAATAAACTTCTGCTTTAGCTTTAATTGTACATTTTCTGGTACATGCTGCAATACTTTTGACTTGCAGTTTTTTCATTTGAAAGGGTCTTTTGGTAACCATGAAACACTCCCAATCTGGCTTCCTGTATTAAAAAACAATAATATAGTACCAAAGCATGCAGTTGTTGCAGGGTTTCCTGGGTCTGGGTGTATCACAGACCATCATTCACCACCTCAATCCATCTGTTACAGAAAACTTAAACTCAAGTTACAGCAGACCACTACATGACACCATTGGAAATCTCTCCGGCTGATCTTTCTGGCCACATGTTCATTAGTAACGGCCAGATTGYGCATTTCCTTTGAGTCAGAAATTCTGCATTAAAACAAGGTGTCCTTGCACATAAACCTAGAGCTAGACCAACAGCTCRATTTGGCTCGTAGCGCAACATGCAACAAGGCAAAAGACCTGGGCTCAAGAGTACTCGTACTCCTCAGGCTGGCGAGGAGGAAGGGTAGCTAGCGCTGCATCAGCAGGAGCACCTCCAAGCAATCACGGTGTTTTGCCACAGTGAAACTATCGTATACTAGGGAAGGGACTTTTCACGGGATACAATGGCAGCCCAGAATGCAGGGGTGGGTGAGACTGACCTGTGATCCCGACTCCCTGTTTGGGGGTGGTCGGAACCCCCGGGGCTTATGCCTTGGGCAGGGGTTTGGTGGGCGAGAGAAAGCCCAGGCTCAGATGCATGGGTTACCCGGCTGCAAAAAGACAATATATAATAGAAAGTCTAAACCAAAGACGTTCGTATCAGTAATAACAATGAGGAAGATATTTACTTATAGGAACAGCAATGCAAATTAACAAAGGTCTGAATTGCTATCTGTTCCTGGGACCTGTTTTAACACAAGCTCCCAATAAAACTGTCAACTTTTTCAGAACACTCCATCATTCCTGAATAACTGTAATTGATTTTAATAAAGAACTAGTTATCAGGCCATTTCACCATGTTTCTGAAAAAGCATTTGGCCTGTTGGCATTCCTTCTATGTGCAATGGACCATTTGCCTCTAGTAAAGAGTATTAATTTTCTTTTAAAACATACAAAAACAGTTAAAAATGTCCGAATATATCTTTAGCAGCCTCCTTAGAGCTCTATGCTCTACTTGTTCATTTATGTTAGGTCCAAGGGTCATGCAAAGGCATGAGCAGGACTTTTTTCAGGAGCTGCCCAAAGTGTTGGCAACTCCCTGTCAGTGCTTCTCGTGAAGGCTGCAGACTTCGAGCCTTGCTCAGTCCTCAAGAAATTTTGCTTAAATGATTAATGGCACAAGTCTATTTGATGCTTGGCTGTATAAAGAAAAACCCTGTGCACAACATGTGCAGTTTATGGTAGACTCATGCATACAACAAGCATTTTTGTAGGCAACTACACTAGTGTGCTCCTGCTTAAAAAAAAAATTGATTTCTGCACAAGGTATGGCATCAATAAACCCAATATTCTAATGGTTAACTACACTCTGCTAATTACAGGAGACCAACTTTTATCCTTTTTATTCCATCTCAACAAGTATGCTTTATTGGACTCCTGGGGCCACATGGGTGGACTTTCCAAGTACTGCTTCAGGACAGATTTCAATATTCTGTATTTCCCAGGGAAGGCAGACAGGTAAATTGGTCTGGGAAAAGCCTCCATGTATTCTGCAGCATCTTCAAAGCAGCTGATATTGGGTTTTTTTTTTGTTCTAAATGAGTAAATGCTGGTYACAGTTTGAGTAATCTGCTGGTCACAGATCATTCTCAGTCAATTTTCTCTCCTTGCAAAGCAAGCTGTCCCTGTAACCAGAGAGATAATTGTCCTCTAATAGCCCTCAGCAATTCTCTCCATTCCCCACTGAATTGACACAGCATGTGGATCATTCAGTGGCAGCTCCCTCTCCAGCTRCTGACAGGACTATCAAGGAGATTCAGACCCGTTCAGGGCTGTGCAGTCCAGGACAGACAAGATCAGGAGAAATCCTGATTATCCTGCAACATTATCCTGCCTCCCAGGAACACACACACTGTGCTTCATCCCCGAAAGGTTGCTGCACGGCCCTTGGGAAGTACAAGCCTCATCCCTGTAGCATCAGGGCTGCTGCTGGGTTGAAAGACCACCGCAACAAGCAGCAAGAATGCAGAGAATCAGGTGGAAATTCAGAGGCACCTTTAAAAGAGATACAAATATACAGTGAAAAAGATTTCCAACTCACATTATCTCTGTCTGCCCACTAATTTAGTGCTCCAAAGTTCTCTGAGCAAATCTCATTTGTGTTCTTGGCAGTTTGACCAGATTAATTTTGATTTTATCAAACTATCTCATGCAAGGAGAAAAGAAAACCAGCAAAATAACATTCCAGTAAGAGTTTATCAGGACAAAGAGCATAGAGACTCTTGAGATAAACTCCTCCAAGGGCTAAAATTTCTGGTTCCATGATGCCATTTTGACCATGCAATGTTGTAATTGCAATGTGCATCGAGGTATTATTTCTGTAACTGGTAACATAGGGTTTTCTCTATGAACCCCTTCTGAGCCTACTCACCTCGAGACAGTGCACTGCAGGTGAAAGAAAAGTTTCAGAACCAGCTCAAAATCCCCAAACCAAAGGAAGTGGGGCCCAGAGAGCAGTTAGCATTATTAGCTTCCAGCAGGGTTGGTATCAAGCCCATTTGCCCATCAAGGTGCAAAGTTATTAGTCACAATATGGGGAAGGGCACTGTCATTGCCACCATGGTCAAAGAAGGAGCCATTCCCGTGTGGCATAAGTGCTGTAAAGAGCAGGCCAGCGCTTTTGACAAGCCCAGAGGTTTCCAGCCATTCACCATTCATTCACAAGGGGGGCCTGACCCAACAGGCTTAAGTACATAAAGAGGGTTCTTTCTGTGTGGGGAGCACTGCACACATGGGCTCTACAGGAAATGTAACCAGTAAACCAATAAGCCAGCAACTCTAAGCCATACTGGAAAAGTATGGGATCAGTCATGTGGTAGAGATTTTAATTACCCTTTTACTGCAGGCCTTACTCAAGACTGGTTGTTTCAGGCTTACAATGGCAAACTTCMAGGTATTCTCAAAGCAGACAGATACCTCTCCTAAAAACTCCAGGAAGGTATGCAGAGGTACAAATCCTAACTCTGCAATGGCCCAACCCAAGGTGAGGAAAAAGGTAGGAAACAGGTTATCAGTAACTCAGTATTGAACCAGGATACACTCAGCAATGGCAGTTTACTGTAGACAAAAGCCTGCAGTGATGGTGCAGGCTGCCACCATCTTTGGGAATTGCTATGGGAACGACTGTGAGGAAGCCTACATAAAAAAGAAAATTGATAGTTAATTTTTAAAGAATACATAAAAAGAGGTTGAAATACATTAGCCAAACCATTTACCAGATTATCAGTCAGCAATCAGAATGGGCCACAGAGCAAAAATGAAGCTGTCTACTTTTTAATACTCTTAATTTCCACCTACAAAACATAAATATGAAAACTCTACTTTTTGGCTTTGCTTTTTTAAATTCAGACTTACTCAGTTGAATTAGACCGTGGCCTAAATCTTTTGCCTCTGACTTTCTTTCTGTTTCCTCCTATATTACCTGAAAGAAATCAAAGGACAAAGACAGTAAAACAACTTGAAACTCACCTGCGCCCCATGCCAAACTGTATATTCTTTTTGCATCCATAGCAAAAGAGTTGCTACCTCATTAACTTCAACCATTTAAATCTCACAGGTCTGTTCCTCTTGATTTACCTCAGACACTTAGGTTACCTTTCTCTACTTTTTGCTGCAGCTGTGCAGAGYAAAAAAACCCTTAATTTCAGCTGTTATTTGACAAAATCACTACACTTCAAGAAAAACACTAAACACGGCCTGATAAAATCACAGAAGCTGGCAAGAGTGAATAGACTCTCTCATGTTAGCTCACACTGGAGGGAGAAATTAAATGTAATTTCTTCATGACAAAGCACTGTGCAAAAAAGGCACTTATGTAGGGTGCTGCTAAATCCTAATTCCAAATTAATAACAATTAGCACAATTTTAAGGAGCCATGCTGCTGTCCTAAGATCAGCTAAACTTTCAGCAGAGCAGCAATGATCCAGAGGCTGGTTTCCACCGTGGCCAGCACAGTGGTTCACACTTACCTTGCCAAGAATTACTCCTAGGCCTCCCATTTTCACAAATGTCTGAAATATGTTTTGTGTCTGGGATCCTTTCACTCCAGGAATGAGATAATCCATTTGACCTGGAATAGGAGGGCTCAGATGCGGTTATTGTTAAGGGTATTGTCTCACTCATCAATGTTAGCTCAGCGGTTCGGTCACATTCCCGAGGCCAGTGACAAAACACAGCCTAAGGTCTGTCTGCACTAGCAGAGCATCCAAGATTTCTGATTAAACCCTGCAGTTGTGCCTTGCAGCAGTTCCGTGTGCCCACGCTCAAGAGCCAGGCATCAGCACTGCTTTCTCACTTTGCTGTGGAATTCACAAAAACCGACGCACACCAGATTTCCTTTGGATCTGCAGCTCTGCCTCAGTTCCTAGATGAAAAATGCTCTTACAACTGTGCTCATTTCAGAGCTTTTTCAACTCCCAGTCAAGCACATCCCGCCTGCAGGCTGCCCASTCCCTCCTTGTGCTGCTGCAGGAAAGCCTGGAGAGCTTCCCTCACCACACTGCTACCATCTCAGGGRCCCAGGAGTTTGTGACGAGCATCCTCCCACCCGGAGCTGGCAGTGCCAGGGGAGAGCTAACTGCTTCATTCTTGCTAATTTTGAGCTTTTATATTTTATCAGCCAATTGCTGCAGCATATACTTCTAATGCCTAACTCAAAACCAGAAACAGTCTTTCTATCTAGGTTCTTGGTGCAAACAGAAGCTTTTATCCTCTTGAATTCCCTCTAAGAGCCCGAGATGTATGTGGTGATGTCCAATATGTGGGGTTTTGCAACAGGCTGCTTCTTGTCGAACTAGAGCTGCTGCTCAACTGTTTGCTGCAAGATCTACAATTATTTCCAAAAGAGAAGAGGAAGTTGAAAAATTCGTAATAGATAGATTRCTTATTACAAAAGTCTTGCTTAAAGGAACTATTTTTGCAGTTTTTCAGTCTGAATACTCGCATTTTCAAGTCTCTGCTTTCCTTGGCCAACAGGCATCTGAGAGATGCTCTTCAGTTTCCAGAARATCAGGCTAACCACAGCCACATAGAAGTAAGCCCAGGGTTTCATTAATTCAAACTTAATCACTTCATGAAAGGTCTGAGAAACAACAGATCCACTGACAGATTTTTAAACATTTCCTCCTCCTCAAGATCTCTTTCAGGTTCAGGAATGTCTTATATACTGGTTTKGGTATATACTGGTTTTGGTGTTTGCTATTTCATAACAGCAAGAGTTATCATAAAGTTATTTCTTAATCCTTGAACATCCTCTGATTACCAACTAATATTTGATAGTGCTTTCCAGCATGGAGAAGCCCAGGCAGCTGTGGGCCCAGTCACTCTAACATCTCCCAAGAGATGCCATCCATACCGGCACACAGAGCAAATCAAAACCAGCTTGGAAGGTAGGAAGTAGCACTCTGGGAATTAAAATGGAAGGACTATGTCTGCTGTATCACAATGTCAATGGAATATTTGTCAGACTTACTGTTCCAGACTTGACAGTGGCACAACATACCTGAACTGGTGGTGGGGAACAACAAAACTCTCTAGTACAGACAGACCTTAGAAACCATTAGCTTTTTGGAACAAATAATAAAGAGAGACATATGAAATAAATGAAGTATGAAAAGAAACACAGATACTGAATGAAATAAGTAACACATTAAATTACAGTCATTTAAAAATAACTTTTTTAACTATTATTTAAACCTGATACACAAAGGTATGAAAACTTGCTTTCCCAAGACTTTTTTCAAAGTTTTATCTATATTTAAAAAAATTTACAACACAAACAGTGCATCATTTAAGATTAATGCTTGCTTCCTGAAAAAAAAACAACCCACACATCTAAAAAGCTGAACTAAAAAAATTTAAATCATTAAGTAATCACTACTGGATTTTTCCTAATAACATATTCACTACAACAAACTGAATGAAGTTGCATATAAGATCAGGTTGCTATAGCAAAATAACAAATGACTTCATATGTGCCCCTTTCATACGTTTCTTTTTACTTTCATTGAAATAACAGCAAAGAAAATGGCTTCATCAACTGCATAGTTGCAGGCTGCTTAGTGAGACAAGAGTTGAGAATTGCAGTTTTCCTGYGAAGCAGTTCACGACTGCCAATCCCTCCTAGGACACAGTGCTTCTCATAAATTGTTTTGCAGTGCTAGCAGGAGATTTTCATCTAAAGAATCTCTAACTGCAGAGAAACAGTGAGAATCACGAACTTAGCAATTACAAATGGCTCTCAATGCTCTTTAGTGAATCTTCTCTTTAAAAATGTTGGATTTTTTTAGGCAACTGGAACAATAACGGAATTAGTGAAATCTGATCAAGGGCAAAATCTAATTGTCTCTAATCTAATGACAGCAAGCAGAAAACTACAGAAAGTCTCTGTAGAATTATTTTCTAAGAAAACTTTTGGYGACCATTTAGTATACTAGCCTAGTAAGTGGAATAAAAATGCAATCACTATCATCTTTAACAGGAGACAGCAGAATTAATAACACTGAATTAATAACACTGACAAATAAAGATATAAAAATAACATTTATATTGAACATTTTTCAACTATTGTTGAAGCAAGACAATGTTCCTTTTCTTTGATTACATGACCATGATTACAAAAGTTGTTGGGGTTTTATTTAATTGTTTCTTGGCCAGCAATAATTATTGCAGTCTACTTGAAATCAATTCTCAAGAAGAGAGATTATGAAAATTTGATTAAACAAAGATTGGTTTACAATGTGAAACTTTTTTATTCTGGCCTAATCATAATAATTAGTAGATCAGGACATATGAGAACCATCAGTAATCAAAGCAAAAAGGATGCTATTYCAAACATTCCACAAAGAAAGAAGAAAGAGTCAAACCTGCTGCAAAACAATGAAATGTTCTGACTAATGGAATAATGGGTGATGGAACAGGTAGAAATCTGAAAATGCGACAGAAAAGCAGACCTCTTCTTAGAACTAGATGCAGAGTTTGTGCTGACTCCAGGAGGCATGTCGCTATAAAAAGAGTCGGCCTCTCCCGGCTTTTTTACATAATCTCCCTGGGGTATTTGTCTAAAGTATAATAAACATTGTAGAGTCAGAAAACATGACAGGAACTAGCACGCACACAAACATGCATGAACATTAGTTTAAAAGAAAGAGGTAAGGATAGAAATCCTTGAGAAAACCTGTTAACCACACACAGCAAGGCTATTAATAAATAATTCAACCATCTGAGAGAAAACTCCCACACGCTTCTGTTATGCGCAGAAAAGTGGATTATGTGGTTTTGGAAAGGGAAAACAAGGAACATTTTACTGGTGAACTTTGATCACAATTTTCAAAATTAGCAGTTYGTGATTCTTGAGACACTGGATAACCAGTCCAGATTATTTCAAAGGGCTCATCAAGCTGGYTGAAAAAGCACCCTCAGGTGCAGCACCAGCACTGAGCCTGAGCTGAACACATGCCTGCATCAAAAAAGAGTTCAGTAAAAGGGAAGGCTTTTTTCCTTCAGAGGTAGATGCTTTCCATTTAACTTTTGTGATCATGATTGAATTCAAGAATAACAACCTGTTGATTTATTTAAACCTCAGGAGGATAAAAACCTCCAGTTTTTTAAACTRATTTATTTTGCAAGGGAACTAATGCCAGTATCAGAGATTCTCAGTTACTCCTGATTACCAAAGCAGTAGACTCAATCTGCCAATACACACGAAAGTAATGTCATAGTTTATCCTTTTCCAGAACTAGAGGCTCAGTTATGGTGCATAAAACTGTGCATTAGAAAGTCCTAATCAAGTTTTGCAAAGTTTTAGCAGACGGTGACTTCATCACCAGCAGAAAAAAACCTGCCATGCAAATATTCCAGTTGTAGTTCCACCAGGTTTAACAATCCTCCCAAGCATAAGTAGTTACTTTGACAACTGACTATTTCATAATATCAGCATTAGTATTTGTTCAACCCTGCACTCTCCAAGGCATTTTTGCTTCAGTCTGCCCCTRTAATGATGCACATTTATCAGGTTGATTCATATGCAGATTGTGTCCAGCTACAGATCTGAACTGGGACCTCTTCATTCCATGTCTGAATTTCTAATGCTTCTGAAGTAATAAAGTATACAACTTATGGCATATAAATCATTAGTGCAATGCAGTACTTTCACACCCCATGTTCTAGCACCTCCCAAGTTCTTATCCCCATTCCTCAGCTGGTACATGGGTGTGTTTAGAGTTGGCTCACTGTGAGCAGCACTGCTCCCCAGGGTTCCTCTYGCAAACTGCTCTCTTGCTGCTCCATCAGAAATAACTTCTCCCATGTAGCTGTGCCTTTTAAAGCCACACTCTCCCAGCTGGCAGAATCCTTGCTAATTGGCTTTCTTACCACTTTCAGTTTACTTGTTTCCATTGCTTATTAGTACCAAGTATCATCCTTATGTCATGCTCAAAAATATCATAATGGCTTGTTTTCATTGTTATTTGAGGAATAACCATAAACATTTCTTTTTTTTTTTTTTAAAGGGACAGTCTAGACAATCTGGTAGACGTCTAGTTTTCCATTTGTGAAGCCCTCCTTGTACTTATCCAAATTATACTATTTAGAAGTCAGCCTACAGACCTTCGTTTTCTTGAAGGTGACTTAGTTACTAAATATCTCCATCATCTTTGAAATGATAGAGTTCTCCATTACCTTCAGAAGCCTCAGCTTATGCTGGTTTCCACTCCGCCTATGCTCTCAGACACAGCTGCAGACCAGCTGCACACTCACAGTTCTCTGGCCAAAAAGTAATTTCTGGAGATGAAGATACCTGAAGAAGTTAAATCCTCTAATATTCCAATGCAAACATACACGGGGTGCTCTCTGTTTCAAGGTTTTTCCTGCTCTGGCCTCAGCCAGTACTGAAACATTCACAGTAGAATGACTTTATGGCCACGTTAGTTTGCACCTACAGATACACCACTTTCCACTAAGCAGCACCAAACCCTCCAATTCTGCCTTCCTTGCGCTGGGTGCCATTCCCTGCCCACCAATCTCTGCATAAGGCTTGACTTTGACAGCATTGCCTTTTTCCTGTTACTGTACCTGAGGCCTGTCTGACCTTGTAGCACACAACCAGCACTTGGCAGTGCTTTTCTGCTTCTCACAAGTATTTTGAGCCTGGCAGAGAAAGCGCTACACAAGGGGAAATGGAGAACAAGCACAACGGGTAGCAGCAACAAACAAAGCAGCAGCTTGGACCAGAAGGCAACGATGCAGGCAGAAAACAGGGGAATTCGAGAAATCCTCTTATCTGTGGGGGAATGGGAGAGGAAGGAGCCAACTCCTTCCCACAAGACCCATCTGCCAGGCAGATGCCTGATCAAAGGGAGGTAGTCTTCCAGGAGCCAAACACAAGCCATCAGGAACATGGTTTCTTTTTGGCCACAAACTTGAAATGGTGAAAGGTCAGCCCTGTGCTGAAGCCAGTACTGTGCTTTAGGTATGAATCAATCAAACAGGGCGACAGGAAAGAAAGGACTCTTCGTCCACACAGCAATTTAACTGCATTATATTTTTAACTGCAAAGAAGCTCCAGGAATTAATTTGTCTCAAAAGGCTCCTGAACATCATGTTAATATTAATTATTCAGTTCTTAGCCTCCCAAAAACACTCTAATAGCCCATTTTCAGTCTCCCTTATTGGAAATATTCTCCTGTTTTCCTAAATAAAATAATCTATTGCAGAAGTATAAAAAACATTGTTTTTGCTACTGAGTCCAGTGAAATCAGGATTTCAAGCAATGCATTTATAGAATACTGATTTCATATATTATTTAAAATATGATAATCAATCATAATATTTTCTTTACAGCATGTAAATGAGCAAGAGAGAAGAAAAGCTGTTTTCAGAGACATCTAAGATACATTCCATTACTTTCATCACATACCTCTGACTTCTGTAGTTTCTTTCCATAAAAACAGAAAAAAAGGAAGAAGAATGAGTTTTTAGTATGCAGGTATATATGGTCAATAAGATAAAAAAATGTAAAATTAAAAGCACCATGTACAAAATGAAATTTTTTCTCAAAATATTTCTAYAAAATCAATTGTGAAATAAGCATACTTGCAAATATACTAAATCAGAATAAACAAGAAATGTATATTGGTGTTGATGGCTAAAGTCAGTGCTGAGTGCAAGGTGCAGTTCACGATGGCTTTAAGCCTACACCCTGTGAAGCTACTAGTGAAAGGTGCACTCTTGTCTTGAATCTCCAAAAACTAATCCCACTGGCTAGACATGATCTCAAAATAAGCCCTTAACTTTCAGAGTTTTACTCTAAATAGAAGTCCACATTTTCAGATACTGCCAGAAGCTGAGGGTGATATAGCATGATACCATAACCTACCTTTCTCCTATCCTAATCTTCATGTTTTCTTCCAAATGCTTCTTTCCTTACAYATTTCTGAGCTGCTCTCAGCCTACCTCACTCTAGCAAACCAGTACTGCCTGCAGCTGAGCCTGCCCTGCCCTCCAAGCACACCAAGGACCTGGGAATAAATGACTTCAAGAGACAGATGATAAAGTCAGTACCTCGAATCTTTTTTACTACAAGCAAAGAACATAAATGCCACTGTTTTTATAAGAAATTCACAAAAGAAGTAGTACTGAAGAAGACCAATCAGGCTAATATAATCCATTTTGCCTCTCAGTGAGCAGTGACAGCTCTACACCAGGAGACAACTTGAGCCTTATTTGCAAATTGCAGTTCTTTCCTACGAAAAAATGTGCCTGAATTATTTTCAGGTTAAGCTGACTAAATATAATAATCTATTTAAGGAAGCCTATGGTTAAATGCTTTGCTGACTGACTGAAGGCTAATCTTGCTATATTTACTTCATCATGAGGAAACATTTATAATTTAAACAGATCATATTGTGGCATTTCCTTTGTCACACACAGTAAAATCATATTCTGATCATCTCAAAAAAGAGAAAAGAAATTACTAAATGAGAAATAAATTTCAAATTTGGATCAAGCTCTCTACAACCACACACAAATGTTAGAATTGCTTGAAAAACATTAATACAATAAAAATGTTACTGTATAAATACTGTAGAATTTGGATTTTTTTAGGTTTTTTGAATTATTCTTTTCATAACACAATCAGCTATCTGATGAAATACACATATTTTTAAACTGTAATAARAAGAGCAAAATTTACTTACTTGTAACCCCAACCAGTTATTCCTAAAACGAGAGCCAACACTAAAATGGTGCCAGCAATAGCCCCTATTATTATATTTGTGCTAACAACACCTGGAAATATAAGAAAGAGGAAAAATATAYATGGTTTTAGGAGAAAAATACACATGCAACAYCTTTCAAAAAACAACTTGAACAACTCTCACTAGGCTGATCGACCGAAACCAGTGATCTACACGCTTGAAGCACAGCATGGAAATAAAACAATCACTTGTTAATCAAGCTTTGACCTCTGTGTCTGCTTCCCTTAACTGAACACTTGTTACATGGGAAACCTGTGCCAGGTATGTCAGTACAACATTATCAATATTAAACTGCTGTAGATTACATCCTTACAATTTGCCCTAGCAAGTACATGCTTATCCTGGACTAAAAGTGGCTACTTGTTTTACTCAAATCCTTTCCATAGCTGAATAAATGAATCAAACAAGACATTCTGGAAGATGTTCCCCCACCCCACAAGGATTTCTAATGACAAGCATTCACAAGCCCATTTTTCCAAAATATATCTTTCTTCTGTATGCAAGACTAGAGCTGAATAAAATTTTTCACTCAAAAAATGTAAAAGCCAAGAATTTGTGTGCCAACATGCTGTACATTGGCCATATAATAAAAATTTACACTACAAATAAAAAACATTCATGTGGGTAGCATTACCTTTTCATCCAGATATGGAATGTCCCAGTGACTTTTTGCTTGTCCTAATCTATCAATATGCCACTGAGATGATTGGGGCAAGCAAGGTAATCACCAGTTTACAAAGGTGCACTGTCTGAGGCCTCATTTATAGACATTGAGTGCTTCTGCTGTGAGAGGAAGAGGGGAACTGATCCTGCAGAATGTTATGTACTAACTGAAAGAGTAGRAGACCTAGTTTCACTTAATGAACTTTTCTCAAATCCAAGCTTWTTCCATTGTTGGTAAAAATTATGACAACATACCTCTATTGATGGCATTTTTATCAAAAAATAGATCATCTTTGATGTGAGAACTGCAGTCATCTCCTCCCCAGAATCGGTCACAGACACATTTTATTTCATTGCTACAAACCTGCAGTCAAAAGTGGAGCTCAGAAAAAAATCAGGTTATTAATCCATTCCCGTAATTAATAGCTAAAGTATAGGTACAGTGATAAAGCCCTGATTTTGCTCACAAAATTTAGCAAAATATTTTTTTAATATATAGCAWTTTTAAATTTATTTATTGGATTTAAATGAGTTAAATTTGCTATTGYATTTTTACAGAAATAGGTATTTCAGATATAAATAGGTATTACATATTTTAATGCAATCTATATTTAGTAATTTGTAATTTCTTTGGCAGACTGATGTTAATGACTTTTTTCTTTTTTCAAAATCTGATGATGTGCATGATTTTCAGTAAAAAAGGAAGTTTTAATGCAGTGTACAAGACAAAAGACATGAGAGAACACCTCCTTTGATCTTAGCTCAATCATAGGGTCTGGACATTGTGTCAAACGGTGTGAGGGGACAAGGGGACCTGCCAGGGCCACAGCAAAGCCATGGACTGCACACCGAGCAGAGAAACTGCCACTAGCCAAGAGCCAGCTCACTGCCCGCTTTTTCCAGAATAAAGAACTCTCAGCCAACAAAATCTAACTTCATCAACAAGTTCACGAATCTTCTTGCTGTTTATGCAATAAAGAGGGAATTAAAAAGAACAGGTCTCTGGAYGAACAGAGACCCAAGTCTCTCAGTTCATAAAACCTTTGTATTTATTCTCCAGTACATGAGGAATTATCAATCARGTTGGCAAAAGTGATAGCAAAAACACTGATAAAACTTGTGTAAAACTAATACATACTAACTATGACTCATTGTTTAAGATGCCTTGACTGGATGTGCCTCCTTCCCTTTTCCTTTTCAAGAGCTTCTCTAGTATTATGGCTTCTAGAGGCACACAGCTGGCTTTCTGAAAGGCCTAGCTAGCACATTACACAAGGCCAGGKGCTCAGCAAAAGCACTAAAAAGCATTAAAGAGTGCAAGAACATACTCCATGTCCTGAACAAATGTGGCCGTCGCTGGTGCCCGGGCAGGTGCTGAAGTTGAAGGCCTCGGCGGGGAGGCAGCGGTGGTCCAGGCACACCATGTCCGGCCCGCACGGCGTCCCGTTCTCCACGTAGCCCAGGTCCGTGTCCTCGTCCAGCTTCACGTGGCCACCACTGCAAGACAGACAAGAGGACCTTGGACACTTGGGCTGTGCTTAGATGGGACTGATTGAGAAAATGGGCTCTGAGCTGCTGCCTTTATCTCTGTTACACMGGGCCCAGGAACAGCTAAGGCCAAGTATTGGCTCAGTGATCTCACAGGGCCTAGCACAAACAAACCAAAACAGTGTAGCTGCATCAAACAAATGTAATGGTGAAAACAAAGACCACTCTTYCTGTGAAACAGATAAAGTTAGACAAAACTCTAAGTTAACTTGTTTAGGACTTCATTTCATCTTACGGCTGTGCAAAGCTATGAAAATACACAACACCTGTAATTAGAATTAATCTAAAATATCGCAACAAATTAGCCTGCCGGTTAACTTCAGCCATGTAGGCATATGTCTAAGTATTGTAGTTGCTTTGAAGCACTTTGCAAATATTAAAGAATATAAAATCACAGGGCCTGAGAAAAGCATTGCACCTCCACATGCAAAATTAACTATTGTACAGAGTGGATTGCAAAAGAGCCACACTCCCTATAGGCAGCTAATTTTCTGAAGCTTAACAAAGGCTGAACTGAAATAATGGTTATGTGTTAAYAGGAAAAGAAAKTAATGGGAACAGKTTTTCTCCACTTAGGAATGACAAAGCTGCTTTTCTATGCAAGATGGATATTGATTGTTCCGTTTTCAGGATTTGCAATTACCTGCAATTGTAGGCTCTTCCATAGTGCAAGATTGATGTTGTGATTTCACCATCAAGTTCTCCAAGTCTGGGCACACTGGATATATTGGAGCACAGAAGATATCCACAAAGCACATCCCTGCATTGAAAGAATAAACTCATAAAAAATAAAATTCAATGAAAATAGACAATCAAAAATATGTGGTTTTCTTCACTTGCTTGGTAACCTATTGTTATTCTTTGCTTTTCTCCCACTGACAATAACTCCCATAAATAATGCTGTTTCCCAAGAAAATTATTCTCCTTGGAACTGAGATTGGGAAAACTCCATTTTTATAATGCACTATCAAAAATGTCCTGAGTAATAACAAGCAGGGAGCTGTCAAAAACAAACCACATCAAATTGATTTAATGATCTATTAAGATACAGTAACTGGTCCACAGAGGAGCAATAATAGATACTGGTATTAATTATACTCTCATAGGACACATATGTAAGGGAACTATAGACACCAAGTTGAATTCAGCTACTGAAGGGACTTTGCTACTCATGTGTGGAGACTTCTGCACTGACAGAATAGTAGGGTCTGACACCTCCCATATTACTGAATATTTTTACTTATGAATTTGTAATGACAGAAGTAAGGTTAACAAACGTGCATAAAAAGGCAGGGAAGCACATTAGTTCACCTGTAGGCCAAACTAGAAATCTAATGTCATTGACAGAATGGAGAAATCTGAAAAAAACAATTTGATAAGAACTGGTGAAAGGTTTAGAAATAGGCAGAAATAATCAACTGTGCATATGCAGAAGGTAAAACAAATTGTTTAGGCAGCAACTTGCAAGAATACACTTTGAAAGTTGCATTATCATGAAAAGTKAACGCAACTTAGCAATGCAATGGCACAGCACAAAAAGTAAACAGAACACCAGGATGTGAAACCACAGGCCGCTCTCCTCTGCACTGCTAAGCCTCGCCAAGAGTACCAGGACCACTCTTGGTCCAAGCTCTCCCAAGCTCAGATGGTGCTCTCTTGTCAGAGCTCATCTCCTCTTGTSACCCTGCTCCCTCCAGGATTTATTGCTCAAAGGTCTGCAGAAGGAGGCCAGAAGTCTGATCTGTATAGAGGCTTTTTGTGCCTCTTCACTCCAGCCAAAGAATTGAATCAGGGGTAAGAAACCTCATACTAGTAGCTTTCTCARTGGATCAGCTTACTGTTTATTGCACTGTATCCAAGAGTCCTTGTCTCTTCCACAGTTTCCCTTCTCAGTCCCCTCAATATTCAGCTTCTCATAGCAGTACCTGTCAGCAGCCGTCACTTCTACAAACAGAAACAAATCTCTTCTAAGGTGATGACAATGACTTTGAAAAGCCATGTCATAGGAAATAGGGATACACAATCAAACCAAGCAGAGCTTCCCAATTTGAGAACTGAAGCACCGTGATCTGCAAGTGACCCGTGAAACTGCACAGTGTTTTTCTCAATTAAAAGCTTTATGATGGGTAACARTGGACCATTTTAAAATTTGTTCAGATTGATAAGAGTGCATTGGTCAACAATATCCAGAAACCCCGAAACAAACTAATAATCATGAGTATAGGCTCCCTAGGTGGTTTAAGACTTCAGGACAAACACCAGTAAGCTAACCAGCACTAGAGGGTGAGCTGGAAAAGAGAACGGAAACACAAAACTATGGGGGAAGCAGGGGGAGACATACAATTCTAGATTTTTTCAATGGCTCGCAATATGTCTCATCCATAATTTTTATTAGCYAAGATAGTCTTGCAAGCCACATATAATATATCCAAATTAGTAATATTCACTCACTTTCACCCCAGATATATTTACATTGCCGATCCCTGGTTTTACATCTTCCTCCAAAGCAAATACCCTAGAAAGAAAGAAAAGAATASAGAAAATATTTCAAATTACATGATTTCCCAAAAGATGTATTTCCTTAATAYAAAGGTTTGTCACATGCTTTATATTGAGGCAGCTTATATGTGACCCTATCATCTTTTCACTCAAAACATGACTAACACCCAAAACTCATGAGTGTTAGCAGGACTGTCCCAAGTTACTTCCAAAGATCTTAAAATAAAAACAATAAAAACAATCTATAACAGCAGAAAGAATGTAAAACAAACTGAAGTTCTAATTACCTGTCTGTTATCACATGAATAYCCATCCATTTTATGGATATTAGGAGAACACTATAGAAAGAGAAAATAAGTAATAGATCATAGATTWGACAAGCATGAAAGCAAAGTATACAACAAAGGTCATATGAAAAATGATTTCGGTATCATTCTGGTTTTTTTAGCTTCAACTGATCTTACACAATTTTGATACACCATACTATACAAAATAGTAACATTCATAGTAATTTCAAGACTACATGTGGGGTTTTTTGTCTCATGGATAGAAGACACAAAAATCACCTGGCTGGAATTTCCTGTGCAGTTTTCTGCAATATCACAATCATTCACTGCTTCTCGACACAAAACTCCTTTAGGTTCAAACTGCAAAAAAAAAGCACAGAAAATTAGCGTCTTGGTTTCTCCATATCTTGCCTTAAATGCAATGCTTCCTAATAGTTTTTTCTAAAATAAAAATTGGGAAATATTCATGGACTGACTGAAGTGGGAAGACTTTCCCTGGTGTATATGCTGCACCACTCAAGCTGTTTACTGGTGCAATTGGTAGCACTCTCTGAGGCATTCCCATCCAAGGGCATCATTTGCAGGGCAGACAGAAGAAGTCCCTCCCAGGACACAGGACCCTTGGGGGTTATCACACCAACACTGAAGTGGCTTGCAGCATTATCCTACCAGGTCACTGTGCCTTTTTATGACTATTTTATTCCTCTTTACAAAATAGAAGGAGTGATCCAAATCTTCTCTCTAGGGATGAAGAACACTGCARAGCCCTATGTATAAATACTTTGGTTATTTTAATCCCCCATTGTTGTTGCAGAACAGGAACTATTAATAAATGTACTGAATTCTGCACAGTTTGACACCATTTTCTAAAGAACTGGATATTTAACAACGAAAAATGTACCAGTGACCTAATATAGACATTTTGGCCAAAGAATTATGTGCCTCAAGACCTGGAGAAGCAGAAAGACATTTCATTTGAGGCAATTGTTAGTGTTTCTGGTCGTGGACATATTATAGACTCCTTATTTTTCCTAAAAGTTTTCTTAAGACTGTGATACCCAGTTAATTTTGCAGCCCTGTGATTTTTTTTTTTTTGATCTGCATGCGCATACATTTTTTGGGGGGACAACTGCTAACTCCACAGCTTGTGTGAACAGGCATGTATCAGTGGAAGAGCTAGACTATGGTACTTTCTCAGCTTTCAACTTCTTTTTTCTACCTGTCTCTGGAAAAATCCAAACAAAGATATATGAATGTTGTCAGAGACATAAAAGGATGCTGGGATGTATAATCACCATGTATTGCTTGTAATCCCTCCTTTACTCCTGCTTTCAGGCAGGGTATCACAGGAGAAGGTAACCCCAAGTTTGGGAACTGGTATACACAGTCTTTTGAGTTGTCCTGATTAATACCTCCTAGAGATATATGTTCTGTGAAATTCTTAGTTTTCTGTTCATTCACTTACCCCTGCCACTCTGTAAGTAGATAAACCCTTTTGTCATTTGCAAAAAAAAAAAAAAAAGGTACACAAATGCTTAGTTTTGTTCTGATAATGTTTAATATGGTGCCTATATTTTGAACAAAATTCACCCACACTGGCAATCTGCTAATTTTTTTTTTATTGCATTAAAAAAAGAATGTGCTTAGGGAAATGTGATCTGTTCCAGCATAGTCTGTACTTTTTCTTTTTTTAACATTAGGATGAGCACAAATTCAGGAATGTGGTCCACAGTTATTACTAATGATCCTCCTAAGGAAATGAAACCCTCAAATKTGCACACAGAGGAAAATATCACACATAGTACACCATAGTTGTAATTACATTAATACTAATTATCTTATTTACTAAATGAGCACAAACAACTATTTCAGGTCATATTTAGCAGGGCTCCCTTACAGCCACGATCTGGTAAAACCTCCTTTTACTATTTACTGATGTATCAAGAATACCTTACAGTTTACATAGGGCTTGATTCCCTTTACTCAATGGGATTTCAGTCCAAACATAAGGAGACACAGACAGACCAAACTGAAACTGAAGTCAGGTGTCTTTCAGATGAACCCTTCTGAGTAATTCTGCTGGCTATGCTTTTGGGTTTCTTACTATACCCTTCTCTCAGACACTCTGTGATACRATTTTCCCATTCAGTCTCATGGGGCAAATCCAGAGCAACACATATGGCTTTGCGAGTGRCATCCATGGATATGGATGTGCACATTCAGGGAATGACAGTATTACAGAATGGTTGGGGTTGAGAGGGGCTGTAAAGATCATTAGCTCCAACCCCCTGACATGGGCAGGAAACCTTCCACTGGACCAGGTTGCTCAAAGCCTTGGATCACTTCCAAGGGTGGGGCATCCACAACTTCTCTAGGTAAMCAGTTCCAGTGCCTCACCACTCTAACAGTGAAAAAACAAAGACATCTAACAAAASCTATATGGTTAATTTATCTAATATTTAAACAAGGATGTCTAATGAGATCTCATAGAACTTCAACCTGATTCAAACTTGTCAGAAACTGGAAGGATTTCATTTACCTCTGCATTGGATGACAGTCCCTGCCCCAAAAAGCCAAGCCTAAACGACAGAGTATAGCCCCAGAAAAATCAGATTTCAGCCAGTTTTAAAAGGTAAGCATTCAGAAGAGTAATCACAAGGTCTGCAAGGAAAAACACATGTGCTGTAGTGGCTGCAGCCACCTGGATGCATTSCCACCAGGTACTGCAGTGAAGCTCACTGCCCTTACCCGGCACTTCCGACAGCAGAGCCCATTGCTGCACTGGGAGCCYGCGGTCAGGGTGCAGGTATTGCAGCACTCTCCTCCTTCGTTGGCACACTCCTGAGGAACACACACATACACAAGCAGAATATAGAGGAAAAGCACATGAAACCCAGGCTCTTATTACTTCTCATCTTAGCATGCTACCTGAATAGATTTTTATCCAGGTTTTAGGCACCTGGAGGCAGAAAAAGGTATGTAATTGTGGGGCATGAAACTGCTGCTTCCTGTGCAAGATGGATAGAAAATAATTTTTCTAATTTCATACTGCAATCATTAAATACTAACCTTTTAGCACTGACCAGTGTTTCCATCTAGAAAAACGCTTTCTTTAATGTCTTTGAAGGCCTGATTCTGCACAGGMAGCTATTCCTATGAATCCTTTGGCCCACACCCTTCACACTGTCTTCCTCCATTAATTGTTAATGGCATCAATGGGTACACCAACTCTTGGACAAATCCAGTTGCTAATTTAAAGTACATTGCACTTACCGCTATTGTCCCACAGTCACATTCTTCTCCATCTTCTACAAAGCCATTGCCACATTCTGGAGGATCCAGAAGCTGCATGGAAATTCAGAAATCAAAGGGCATGTCTCTCCTAARGGAATCATTGCCATATTTACTCTGTGCAACGTGGTTTTTAAGCTAGCACTCCAAATATATTAACTGAAAAACAGTATCATGATTCAGGGAGACACAGACTGAAACAACACAACTGAAGCGTACAGAGGATGAACAGTGCTGCAAATTAATTCAGCAGCACAGCCAAGTCACATGGTATCTTCCATGCATAGGTGACAGCTTTACAGTAAATTCAGTTTGAGCAGAAGTTACAAGGAAAAACAAAAGGTGTGACAATAAAGGAAAAAAAAGACATGACAATTTCATTATCTTCACAGTGGTTGCAATTGCTGTTGTTCTAGAGTTCAAGTGACAAGGGCTGAAAGGTTAAAGCYTGCACTGTAAGTTCAGAAGGAATTGCCATGAAAAGTTGTCATTTTATGTGGCTCAGAAATGCTTGGGAAGGCAAGATGCTGGCTCTCTTTGTCAGTTTTTGTTGCAGCTGGATTTTTCTTTCTCTCTTCCTCTACCACACTTGGGAACTTTGAGCAGTTTTTAATAAGTATGTATCACAGGCAGATGTGCACAGGAAGCATTGCTGGTGAGTCTTCCTCCCTTTCCATTCACCTGTCCCACTGGACTGTTACTTAAAATATCAGAATCTGTATATTTGTGTGCTATAACATCTTCCAAGGGGCACTTACATTCTGCTCTTTCCAGAATAATTTCTTCTGTCTTCCTAAAACTTTTAAAGGCAGTTGTTCTAAAAGAAAATAATCTTTTTCTTTGGACAAAGAAAACTTAATAATAGCTTTTATTACATAAATGAGAAGGCATTTAAGTGTGCCACCAAACTAAAATTTTGCTGATCATCCTCCAAGTTCTACAATTAAACTAGTACCATTCCTAAACCCACTCTACTCATGAGCCATCTGCACAAGTACATCGTTCATGGTGTAGAGCATTTCTCTCTGGCTGCTGCCTTTCTGTCAGGAGCCCACAGGATGGAGCATCACCCCCACATACTTCACCGTGCCACAAACCACAGCCTGGCACAGGCTGACGTGCTATTAATAGATCCCCCAATTGAAATGGAAATTTGACTGCAGCATGCARTGCATATGTAGAATTTAACATAAAATGTGCCCAAGCTTTTAGAATTATTAAAGATTTTCTAAAACTGCTTGTTTCCTATGGATTTTTCCAGATATCTTAACTTCTTCAATATCTCTCTGTGTGCTGCACAACAGAGACAAAGATATGGCAGTAACAGAGCATTCTGCCTTAAAATATTGAGCCAATTTGCTGCAGAACACAGGGACAGCTAAATAAGAAATTGAAGAAAAAAAAACAAACATTAAAAGCAAATTGGATAACCTTTCCCCAAAGTCATATTATTCATCCATTCATTTGCAAAGAGCATATGTTCAATCTGCTCCAGCAGCCAYTGATGTAATTTTCGGGATTATAGCTGATCTAACAGTGGAGCACTGCCAAACACTGCACATTGTCACATCAGCTTTCCTTTATCTCATAATGCTTGAAAAGCAAAAGAAAGTTTGTGTTTCACCTCGCTATGAAACACATCTTTGACAGCTTTGTTAATTAGACAGACATCCATTGACAAAACTTTTAAACCAACCTAAAACACAATACATAAAAGAAACTAAATCACCCAGGCTTTCACATCCAACTCAAATTTTTGCATGCCATCAAAAAARCATCATGAATGCTGCCAAACTAAATTGAGAGTAATTGGGTCTTTTTTCCAAGTGACAGATGTGTAAAYGAACATAATTACTAAAATACAACCAAGTAAGACATATTACACTMCATAAACAATATACTCAGCAAATAAATCTATCAATATTTCTCTCCATCTTTAATTAGATGGAAAAGAGCAAACTTCTAAAACTCAAGTACATTTTAAGTAAGAAATTTCACACCTTATTGATGAATTACACTGCTTTCTCTCCACTTTTGATAATATACTCTCTCATGAAAAGARACCTTCAATAGATAAGCAGGCTCAGCTAGCCCAGATTTGATGTTTTCTCTTCCCTCCTTTAACATTTATTAAAATTCTCTGTTTGTCAGAAGATGCACTTTTTCTCAGGCTCAACAGAAGGAACATGCATCACTCCTGAATTGACTTCTCTTTCAAATCTGTGACCATTTCAGCTACCAGATAAGTATTTTTTCCACACTGGACTGTCTTTTTGCCTTAGCCCCTTGTTTTGCTTGTAGAAAGACAGCCATTTAAGACAGGTTAACATTAATTATATACAGTAAAGAGGCAAGACCATTATCCTACTTGYTTTACATTTTAACACATGCTTCAGTAAATGGAGCAGGAATATACCAAAACACTGCTGCAAATCCTCCATTTTTTGCAGACCTTGCATCTTGGCTGGAGTTTTTTAGCCTTGCTTTGCATTTATCTCCCTTGAATGTCTGGTGGTAGGGCACTGCCCCCCCTGCAGAGGCTAAAGAAGCTCTTGGGACAGACGGACACAAAAACAATCCCATTTCAGCTTCCAGAGAACAGTACCAAAAGACATTAATTCAATGCAAATTAGAATTCMAGCTGTGCAAAAGTTTACCAAGACACTTGAAATCTCAGCAAATACATTCAGTTGTAATATATAATACAATATAATACTATAAMATGATACAAAATTGTATTGTATTTATAATATTCAGAACAAATTCCATGAGGGACRGTTCTCGATCAAAGGTTGTGGATACTCTTTTGGACATGAAACCATTTTATTAAAAATTTATTTAAACATAATTTATAAACTRCTAGGAACTAAAGTTATCTACTTACACGCATATGTTACCAGAATAGTTAGAAAGAACCAGAACTATCAAAACTACAGATGTTTTTTTCAACATAATTTTCATTTTTCTTGGTTTCATCTAAATTAGCAAGAGAATAGAAATAATATTCAATAATAATGTAAWGCTTACTTTGGTTGGTTTATTGAAAAGGCAGGCTCCACCTCCGTTGTTTAAAAATTCATGATACTCTTCAATATCACATTCAGAGAACTTGCTTGGAAGATAGTACCTAACAGAAAAAGGTCACAGGATTACTTCCTCTGGTGCTTTTTGCACTGTATTTTCTTTTTTCAAAATGGTAGAAACAAAACTTTATATTTTAGAAAAATATTGAAAACATACTATTCCAAAATCAGAGTAATTATCTGTTTGTAAGTCCATCTAATTTGAAAATCCTTTCAGTAAATAACAAGGACATTTCAGCAATGACACAGAGCTCACAGCAAGTGAGAGGTCTAGAACATTTCACTAAGATTTTATATGCCAAACACCACAAATCTGATTACAGTATGTAGTTCTCACAAGTGTGACTTGTTCCACTACCAGGCCTGATCTCAGAAATACATTTATTTCCTCGCATGCAAACTATAGGAAACAAAGCCAGTTTGTTTCTCTCTTAGAGGAAATGGTTCTCCTGATCCACAGAATTTTTTATACTGCAGAGTTATGCCATTTTAAGCATTCTTCTAACAAACACCATCTAACATTTCAGCTTCCCTCTGTCGTGTGTGCCACTCAGTAAATTTCAATTGAGCACAGAGTGCCCCTGAGACACAGTGCCCCACCTAAAACCAAAATGATGCAGAGAATCTTTGCATGGATCCTTTCCACAGGGAAATAACTTTTCCCATGGCAACTGCAGTGATCTTTATAATCAAGTCCACAGTCATGAAAGTACTTATGCTTCAAGGAGATTTTGGAGTCTCAAGGGCTTTCCTCTATCTGCTCACCACTGGATTTAAAAATATTAGCCAAAGTGCTATCCTCCATTGCTGGGAGGAATAGCTTCTGAAACATAATTGGTCTTTTCCATCTGTAGGGCTCATGAAATTGGTCTAAACACTACAGCAGTTGTGGATTTCACCAATGTTCAGCAATAAGCTAAGTARATACAAGGCTTTTTTGTGCATCCATTTGAAAGGTTTGAACTTCAGATAAATAATTTAAACACCCTAACATAAGAATGTTTAACTTTTGTAAGGATTGAAAATGCTTCTCAGACTGGCTTTTTAACATACTGAAAATCAGTAAAAATCCTACCAGGTATGTTTTCATGTATACCAGGGTGAAAAGGGCACAAACACACTTTCAAAGAGATTCAAATGAGATATACTTCTTTGTTCCAAATTTTTCTGATCACAAAGCTATTGTGCAAATTTGTGGATGTATTTGAAATTAATTAAAAACTGAGCACTGTCTATATCTAAAACTAGATCACAATGTAATTCAGTATCTAAAACTAGACTACAATGTAATTTCTTCATACACATGATAAAAGACAGACCTATAATAAAAAGCATTAAGATCTGAATACACTTTAGAAAGCATCAGACTTCACCCAGCAGCAAAAATTTGCTGATTAACCAGTCATTTGGTTAAAATCTTTCCAGTGATACTACACATGGGTATGAACATACTCGGCTTCCAATGAGTTTTTCTAACAATATCACAAAAACTGGTAGATAAAAAATGAGAGACAGATGAAAGATTTCAACAAAAACACTCAAAATGAGACACACCTCAGAAATTTGATTACAGGATTTCAAGAATTAGGGTGTGTCATTGTTTGTTCCCACAACTCAGCAGCAAACTTGTATGAGAAAAGAAGCAAGAAGCTACACCTGCTTCTGCTTCTCTGCAATAACCTGGCTTGACTGTTGAACCTTGCGCTTTGCCAATTAAATCAGCATTCACCAAAAATCCTCACATATCCTTCTCATTAAMTCACTTATTCTCACATTTCTTTGAAGGTGTCTCTGTATGGTATATAGCTAATACCTTACTTTCTGAAAAATGAGTCATCAAAAGTAACCACAAAAGAGAGAAATTTTCACACTTTTCCTTTATCTGACCATATGAAAAACATTAGTTTCCTCCAGTGAAATGTCTTACCCCATATCTCCCATTATGCATCCAGACCATGTGTCCTCACACTTACACTCACCTGACAAAAAAAAAAGAAGAAATAAAAAGTTACATTGTCTGTCTTGTGAGTCCAAAATAATACATTTATAATAAAAAAGCACACTTTACTCAATTCCATTTCATATTTCAAGACAAGAAAAGAGTAATTTGCTTATACATTTAAAACTAAGGTGTGCAGTCGGTTTACTGCACACCCTGCCAAACTTTTTTTAAAAATTGAATGATTCTATGCAATCCCTTGAGCTTTGAAAATATGTCCTGTTTTTCTTTCCTTCTCTTTAAAATTACGTTTGAGGAAACTGCAGCACTGGCCTTCAGCACTTGCAAATCATGAGTCAGCTTTCTCATCTTCTCCTGTGTGATGACACTCATTTCCCAAATTTTCATAGTTAGGAAAAAAGAATCATTTTAACTTTCCTACTTTKTTTTAATTCTTTTCTTTGACTATGYTAATGTGATTGGGAAAATCTTCACYTGAAAAACCCCAAACARTAATTSAGATAAAAAAAGCATGGAMACAAGGTAGTACAGCAGGATCCATCAGCTTCTTCCTCTGTTCTCCCTCCCTTCCCTGCCTGCCTCCCATTCCATGCAACTCCCTTCTGCCCTGCCAGCTGTCTGGGTTCACTTTGCTCTGGTCTCAATCCTCCACTTTCAAAGCTGTGTCTTGTTYCAGTTKCAGTAGAAATGCTTTCCACTTAYACATTCTGTAACTTGTSTTACTGYGCACATGAATAYCAGTTTATTGCTTYCATTTTAAAAGTAAAACCAGAAAGGAAATGAAGCTCTGTCCAACAGTTGCATCATCCTCTCTCTCCACCAAAACAGTGTCCTGCCCCTCTCAGCCATAAAGAAAGGGAATCACCACTATTATAGTTTTCACTTTTTCCCTGCCCCTACATCAGCTCAAAAACGTGTGGCTGGAAAATGAATACTGAATGTCTGTAGGACAGAACATCTATCCTACATTTCTGAGTATTTTTAAAAATAGTATTATATAATCTGCAAAAAACCTTTWAATGCAGATGTATCTCTGCATTATATATTGTTTTTACAATGCCTGAAAACAAAATCCACCTAAGCAGAGTTCTACTACTCAATCTAGTAATTTATTTTTTTTTAATGTAGGCCACATAAGCACACGTGATCCGGTAAGCACTCCAGTTTATTATCTAAATTGTTTCAAAATTGTATTTTTATTTTTTAATCATATCAAGCTGGGACTTCATATAACATGGAAGCAGGAAGGAGAGGTGCTTGTTGCGAGCAGAGTGGTGGAGATTAAAGCATTGCAGATAAACAGGGGTAACCGAGAAGTTGAATACCAAGGTTACAGTGAAGAAATGGTAGCAGTAGGATAGAAAATACAGGAGATTTGGCTAATCTACAAGTGGAAATCTATCAAGCAAAAGAGATTAAAAGTTTTATTGTCAAAATTGTTCTAAATGACAGTACTGAGGGGCCTCCTCATTATCCCCAGCTCCAATCACATCTATTTCCACCCTTGTGTCATAAATGGCAGCCATTCCGTCTGTTTGTGCAACAACAGACTCCCTGAAATGAATGGAAGTGGCAGGSACCTTTATGATCTATTTTGGATGAAATGGTGACACCAGTGCTGCCAAGAATTATGAGGAAAATATTATATATTTACTCAAGTAGAGCAAAAATTAATGTCAGTCCCTCCTCATTCTACTGTAAGAAATAAAAATATATCAACAGTGTGAGAAACAAAAGCAAAAAGTACATATCAGAAAGATGTCACCTTTTAAGAGTCTTCTCTTGAGAGACTGTGAAAAAACAAATAAACTTACCACTTAGAAGTTTTCTCCTGTCTGAGAAAATGCCAATGTTTTGGGCCAARGTCTGTGCCAGGGTAACTGCCATTAAGTCTGGCTTTCCAAACTGAGAAAAACAAGCAAGGTAGGAAAAGTAATCAGCAATGCACAGGTATCTCAGATTCAAGTGAAGCCTTTCTCATATCAAGGCAAAAAAAAGACAGAATCAGATACACAGTGCTAGAATTCTTACTTCAGAGTAGCTAGACAAAAGCTAAACACTGGCTTATAGACAAGCTAAGTAAGAGAAAGTCTGTTTCTTTCTTGGCATTGTGGCTGCAAATATGAATGACAGAATATTGCAGAAATTACTGAAAAGTGTATGTGAATCTATATTGACTTTATTCATTCATCACTCTTCATTGAAGTGTCCCTTCTATAGAGCTGCACTAAGATTCTGCATTAGCAAAAAAAATAAAAAAACAAAATATTTTCAGGAACATGTCTGCACTGATAAATTCCATGCAGATAAATTTCCACCACTTTTTGCTCATACCATTGTCCCCACCTACCTCATTCACACCTCCACCTTTAAGCAAGGAGCAGATTCCTCCAGTGTGGGCTACACCACTTCGACTGCTCTGAAATCGACTCCCCCTTTGACAAAAAGGAAAAGAAAAGGAAGTTTACCCTGCTCAGTCCATGAGTATTGCCCCTGCCTATTCCTCAGTATCTACCCTTCTGATTTCCAAATGAGAAGCTGGCATTTACAAATGCTGGATGCCATCACTATGCTGCAAACTATGGAAAAGCAAGTGGGAAAAACAGATAACCACTCACAAACCTCACACAACAAATTGTCTCCAGAAACGTTATACCATCCTCCCTCCTCCTTTTCAGACTATCTAATATAAGAAGGGGACTATTCTGCCAAACCATCTGGATCTCCCCAGCCTTCTGTTTCTTGCCATCCTATTGTAGTGAGTGCCTTCTGCTGGCACATGCTTCAGGCAGCGTACAGGAGAGGCCCCCATGCTGCCAACACACCAGTGAAACAACACGTGTCTAACTGGGCAGAGCTGATGTGGTAAAACYCAAGGGGAGATGCATTAGCAGAAGATGCAGAGGTAGGTGAAAACTCCCTGGAAYTACAGCCGATCTCATCCAAGGAACAGATGCACCCAGCCTAAACCTAATCACYACTTCGGTGCTGGCCACATCAGCATGAATGACTGCCAGTTCCTGGTGGCAAAATATACTCTGCTCCACCTGAGAGTACTGATCCACCTGGCAAATTTACTTTTCTCAAGTGAGAACAGGAAAACACCAAGAAGGTTCACAATGGGCTAACTGTGCTAAAGGTGGAAGCTCATGTGTAACCACTGTACCATCACACCAGCTATCCTCACCTCCCAACTTAGCTGTGTTTCAGTCACAGACACAATTTCAGAAATTCCTATYTCTAAACAATCTATGAATGCAAAACCTCAAACACCCTTGGTGGTGATGCTATGGATAGCACTGGAATTAGCATTACAGTGGTATCCAGAATCCCAGCCACAGGCCAAATCAGGATCTCTTTTGTCCTAGTCAATCACACACATTCACAACACCTCCCCCACAAAGATTTTACAATGTCACCAGAGAAGATACACGAAGAATATGAGAAAATCTGAGTCCCATAGAAGAGATAAATATCTGAGACACAGAGAAACCAAAAACTGCAAGCACCACTTGCAGACCTCAATAGCTTTCTTCGAGGCAAAAAATCAGTGGCAGTAATTAGGCATGTGMAAAAATCCTGAGGGTGGATACTGGGCTTGGATATCCTGGAATCCTAGTGAAGTCATGTTAAGTGAGGTGTTTAGGTTAAGTTTATTCTTACAAGCTTCACCAACAGTCAGCAGAGACAAAAAAGGACTCAAACAGACATATTCATCCGGCATGTCTTTTGTGGACCAAAAATCTCAGCCACGAACCTTGCCTGTATATTTGCAGATATATTTTATGATAACAAAATATATATATATATATATATATTCAGTTTAGTCTTCTTATAGCTCAAATGTCTTGGAGAACAAACTGTTTGGAGGAGCTGAAACACTTCAGTAATCCTGCAGCATGCAGGTCATTCAACAAAGTAAAGCAGGTCATAGTGCACTGAAGCAGAAAACCTCATTGGTTTCAAAACCAATGTTCTGCCYTTAAATAATTCGTGCTCTACTGCTGAAGAAGCCAATCTCTGAGGTGGAACCATGCATGACCCTTCAGGTGGCTGCGCTTGTGGAGTAGGTGATTGCACAGAATGACAAAGGATTACAGCGCATGCAGCTCAGGCTTAGTATGTTAAAACTAAATTGAGAGTCAAACCTCTAGATGCACTGGCAGGCACTTTGTACATTAGGATTTTCCCACCTCCCCATTCAAAACATTATTTTCTGAATTATTGTGGATTACACACACAACAGAAAGGAGATGCATCAGCCACTTGTGAGAAGCAACCCCCAAGGAAAGAAAAAAMCCCAGTAATAAAACATCACACGAGGTTACGTACGAAAAAAGGTGAACTGCGTCACTTTTCTCTCTGATAAAATCCCTCCTATATTTCATAAACTCACGTAGAGTCACCAAGGGGTTTTCAGATATGGTGAACTTGTTATCAGTAGCCCAGGTTTCCATGGCAACCAATACTATCCTGGTGTTAAGTTGTTCYTTATATATCTAGTACATTAACAGAATGAACAAATATATTATGTCAAATAGAACAAARGCGAGGTTTACCCCTTTTTTGTAAYAGCTTGCATTTTTACGTAACTAAATATTTAGCTTATTCTAGCATAGTTTAGGTTCTCCTAGGYGATTTTATCTCCCTTAAAACCAACAAACAAACATAAAAACAAAATTTCAGGCCTAATTCTTCAATCAGTTCTCTTAGCCTTCAAAAAGATCCCTTGCAGGTACTACACAGGCAGAGGTACATAGAAGAAAGATGGAATTTTTTTTAAATTACTACATTCCAAATAGTTCAAAGATTTGAAATTAATGGGTCCAGCTCACCCAATGACACATAAGGGCTCTCTTAGTGGAATAATGATCTATAAAACCATATTTCTCATTGTTATATACATCTACAGGAGTATTTCAACTCATGCTGGCTGAATCATAAAAAAAGGGTCATCCTTTCAACACTGTGTATTAGTACTCCTTACCAAATACTTGCAAGTATTTTCTGCTTCTAGTAATACTTTTCTTTTTCTCTTAATACTTTTCTGGGGTGAGGTGCRAAAGTTAGCACCACATCTGATTTAGCATCACAAATATAATCCACATAGTCCACCTGTATGACCCTATTCTAACTCAGTTACTCAAATGAAGTGTTTCTTGAGAAATTTTAATGCATCAGAATTTCAGATTGTCTTTTGGRTTTCAAGTTGTCAACACAAGGATCCTGTGCTAGAAATTGTCATTTCTGAGGCACTCTTTAAAACTCAGACTCAAGGGACTGATCCACTGAAATGTTTAAAGCCACAAAAAAATAACCCTCTAATGCATTATATTAGACAGAGGCTTTATAGGTGATTGTGGTTCTAGATGAAAATTTGTGATTTTCACATACATTATTATTGGTATACCATGAACTGACAGCTCCTGCGTTTGTCATCAGGAGAATCTCATKACTCATCTCACATGTAAAAGAACACATATTTGAGTGATACTTACTAAATCTGCCATGTTCACAACTGATTTAGCATAGCTGTTGGTATGGCCGACTGACAAGCGGTGCTTTTTACACTGTGAAACAAGCACAGACCAGTAACATGTACAGATTTCAGAAAAACACCATGAAGTAAAAAGAAATTATATCAACCACAAARCCCCTGCACAAGGTTTTGTCTCCCCTGCTGAATGTAATGAAAATAAAGAACAGCAGAAAATTGCGCAGAAATGCACATTATACTTTACAACAGCTGTTGTGAGGATCTGTGAATTCCTGTTTGGAAAGTACCATAGGATCTTACTGGAAAATGCTATAAGAACTAAAATGTATTGTTACTCTCTTCATTATCTTTATTGTTTGCAATTTAAAAATTAATCATAAATGCCAATGCAGAAATCAGCAACAAAAACTTCCATAGATGAGACTCCTTTAGACATTTAATCCCAGAAGTGGCTGCATCTGTGTTTTAATCTATCAGACTCCCTTTCAAAAATAAAAATTTCCCTCTTAAGTGTTCTGTTTTTCTTCTTGTATAGTATCACACTCCCATAATGCCACAGTAACTGGTTCAAATCACTTCAGTAATCAGACTCCAGTGGCACCTTTACTGGAATTTGTAATGCAGTGCTATAAAAACAACACTGAAGACAGCTGTCCAGGTACACCTATTTGCAGAAAAAACACAGTTATGAATGAGCATCATGGGCATGGAAGTCACAGGTATCTCATACGAATTCAAGACAAAGTGTGCACGGTTTTCAGAAATGTTAACTGTCTTGTGCCCCATGATGCTTGATTTTGGAATGAAAGTTGTCCCCATTTTCTGGAAGTAAGGATTTTTTAGTGAGCAAGAAGAAGCTCCCCCACAAGTAGGGCATAGGAAAGGCATCCTTTCAAGAAGGAATGCAGGGGGGAAAACCCCAAAAATAAGGAAGTTAAGTCCACAAATTCTATTTCCTTCCTGCAGGAGGAAATTATTTGGCTTCTTTGATCGTGGACATTCACAGGCATTTGCCCCAGAGAATAAACCCCTAAATGGGGTGACTCTTGCGGTAGCTGTGATTAGACAAAATTAGGAAACTTTGTCCTTGAAGAAAATCTACCCAAGGGTTCAAGGGAAAAGTTGTGGCTTCAGGTCTTTAGGACCAAACACAGTTACATCAATTTAGGGAAACTGCATCCAGTATTATTAGCTTTAATTCAAGAATTTATTGCTATGTTCACCAAACTGAGCTGGCGGGGGAGTACGCTGTCCAAGGACAGTGGCACACTCCTTGTACACTTGTGCACTCTCATGTCTATTTTTGCCAGTTCAGGTGTTACTTGGGAGAATTGCTGCACGTTGCAGAAGGGGTAGATAAAATTCATAGAAACATTTTGATTTTAAAGCCATAAGGGACTATAAAATCATCTAATGTCACCAGTCAAATGGGCACTACTAGGCTGAATTTTATCCAATTACTTCAAGGTTGAATCCTGTTGTTCATGTTTGAAACTACTTTTGAACACTGCAAGTGATGAAGAATTTGCCATTTCCTTTGATTCTCCCTTCCTTAATTATTAATCATCTTCACTGACATAAATCTGTGCCTTTTCCCACCTGAATGAGTGTGGCTTTTCTTCAGTRYACTAACCATTATTAAGCCTCTTTTCACTCTCTTAAAAACCCTACTGTATTCTCTCAGAGAAAGTATACAAGTTAACATAATAATTTTCTCTACATTGATTGGGAYATCCCAAAAAAATCTAGTCACTGTTAACCTCCCCATTGTCAACAGCTGCTGCACAATTGAAATAACTGAACTATTGATTGCTGAGTGGCTGTAACTAAGACAAATGCTCAAGAAAGCCAGGAAGAAAATCATCAGCTTAAGTCACACTGACATTAGTCACTTTATGACCCTTTCAGATACTCAGGCCTAGGTGCATTGTTGGTGAAATGAAACTGCCAAAATTCAAAACAAACTTCATCAGTGGTTAATGAGTACGAAGGACAGACTGAATTTATTCTGGCCTTATATTGTWCTTTATTGCCTATGCTCTCTGGATAAATTAAGACAATTTGATGCTTATTATAATTGTAAGATGCTGAAATGTCTTACCATTAGATGATCATTTACAATCATCAGCTCAATGTATTTTGTTTCCTCTTCAACTTTACGTGGAATCTGACGAACCTACAGAGAGAATGCAACTCTAAGAGTGTCCAGCAATACAGAGAGAGTGTAAATGGTAACAAACATCTGCACTTAGTGGCTCCCCCACTTMAATAAACAGGGAATCAAGTGTCCATTTAGAATATTTATTTTGAAACAAAATAAAGTGAGATAAACTAACTACCGCTCATTATTGCAACATTAAAAAAAAGGGTTTCATTATGGGAGTTTCTGATAAAACAATATTCAAAATGAACAAAAATATTTTACCTACTTTTTAATTTTCAATGTAGCAGTATTTAAAAATTTCCTAACTCTTCAGGAAGACAATGTCCAAGAGAACCATCAATGTTTAGCCTACATTAGACACCTCTTTTGGTATTAGCTGTATTGATATAGGGATTTCATGCCAAACCAGCAGGAGCAGCAGGACTCCATCTGGACAAATTAACTCAGCAGACATGAAACAAACTTAATGGCTTATTCCTTATAAACAAGCATATTGGCACATACCTGCCTTTTCCTTCTTTTGTGTCTTGGCCTTACAACAAAATCCTGTGATGTACTATTCATCTGCCAGAACTCTAAGCAAAAAACACAGACAAATACATTGAATATTTACAAAAATATAGCCCAGCAATTAGTGACCCTGATGCAGCATGACAGTAGTATGGCACTCTTCAGCACTCCAGATGTGGCAACAACTCATTTTTTCAAGTTTCCAGCTAGAAGGGAGGCAAGGCTACAGATGCTTCCCAGCAACAGGGCTGTTATTAAAAACTCTACTAGTGATAATCTGGATCTGTTGAAACAGATGATCTGTGGGTGTCACGCTTCAGAAAGCACAGCAGATGTTCTATGCCAAAACTTCACCAATACTGGGCATGAAATATTATTAGCATAGTGCTTCCATGGAGTGAATCACATTTTTGGGAATTCAGCAGACATTCACAGAGCTCTTGCAATAGCTACCTAAATTAATAAGAAGAGCATGGAAGGCAGAATTAATGCTTTAAGACGATTATATTCACAAAGCAAAGTATGTCAGAGTTGGGAGAAACCTTATGAGATTTTGGCAGTGCTCACTTACCAACACAATATTMCTCCCTGCTAATCCCCCTGTGTCTTTAATTTCTTAAACCTCTAATCATAAGAATCAAGTAGTTTATTCTTTTGCCAAATCCTTTTCACCAAATGTATTACTAGCCACTCACGGAAAAGGACACATTATAAACTAAGCAGAAGACAACACTTGCTCTCACCCTTTCAAACATCCAAGAAATAATTTTACATCTTTCATTTTAGGTTCATAGTCCCTGCCTCTCTTTTCCCTATACAAAATAAACCTCTTTGTCTGTCTTGTGTAAATATGTTTTCTATTGTCCCAAAGACCTTTCTCTGAGACATGTAAATTAAATATTTGCAGTTGCTTCAGTTGTAATCATGTCTTTCTCCCTTTACTGCTTTCTCTCCTTTGTGCTTTCTGCAGCTTTTGACATCCTTTCAATCTCCAGGAAAACATCTTTCACTATGCCAGAATGATTTTACCAGTCCTGTAGAGAAATAAATAGTCCTACAGGGTTAACAGCACCTCTATAGTGCTATAGGGTTTATGGATCTGTGCAAATTAAAGGACTYCCAGCTCACATATCTTTGTACACACCTTCTGGTTGTGTTACAAATTCCTGACCAGTTCAGCTTAGCTGGTGAGACAAGAAGGTTTCTCACAGGTTAACTTCCTACCTGCTGTACATTAATTGGACAATTTCTGCATGACATTCGAAAATGGGATTAAAAACAATGTTGACAGGAATTTGGGCTGCCACATCAGCAAAATCTTAAAACACAAATGGCTTGAGTTGCCAATGAGTTGCCCCTCGGACAAAACATTGCCAGGCCTAACTGCTAATCTTAACCAGGAGTGGCAAATTACTAATAAGACAAACCAGGAAAACAAAGCATGACTAACTGGTATTGTCTTGGGCAATTCTGGGGACTGTAGTGTCATTTTGGTACGTGAGGTGTGCAGGTAACTTTTCATGGAGCAACCTGAACAATTACAGGCTCTCTGCTTTAAAATGGTTTCACGGTTACACCGATGAACTTGAGGACTTTCCTTAGAAAAAGACCAAAAAGAAATTAAATCACACCCAAAGGTCCCTATTTATTGCTTACAGACCTGCAGACTTTTGAGCTTGCAATGATGAGAAACTGAATCTAGAAAACTTTTTTACAATGTTTTTGAATATGCTTTATGTATGTTAATTAGTTTAGATGGTGTTTTTGTGCCACACAACTGGATCTCAACCTGTAATTTTTGGTTTTATAATACAGGTAATGAAAGTGGTAAAAATAACACTTTTCAATCAATAAAAAAATAATAATCTATGATATCTATACAGGGTCTCAGATAATTTTACCAGGAAATGTGATTATTTTATCCACAACTGGAACTCAGTCATCTCTAAAGGGAAATGATGCAGCCATTACCATTAACACATTAACACATTAACACAATTCACAAGATGGATAAACCCACACAGGGTGCATTTCCAGCCAAGGGCCCTCAGGCAAAAGAACATGACCAGCAAAATCACAGGGAATGTTGATGGTTGAGAGAGCCTAGCAGATACTTATTCTGCTAGGAATATATTACTTTGAAAAATAGTAATGAATATTCACAAAATCRTAGAAYCATTTTGGTTGGAAAAGACTGCCCAGATCAAGTCCAACCATAAACCTAATACTTCCAAGTCCCACTAAACCACATTCCTAAGTGTCATATCTGCATATTTTTCATATGACCTTAAAAGAAAAGCACATCTGTTATGTATTATTTGAAAAACATTACCTTTGATAACATTATGTTATCTAAGACCATGTCAGGGCATCACACATCTCAACAGATATTGTGAGAAAAAACAGAGTCTAGTAAACACAAATTCAAATGCTCTAAATGTGCCAAGTCATCTGTCCAAGCTTTCCTTATTTAAAATCCTCATTATTCCTCAGACCATTGCAAAGTACAGTAYAACAAATTCTTTTCTGCAACAGCTTGTGGGAGTTTTTTAGTACCCAGGGAGCAAAAGAATGTGTAAAGTACATTGCTATTGAACCATGATAYAATACTGTGTGCTTTTACTATCACTGATACTGAGTAATCCCTTGAAATTTTTCCCTTTCTAACACCAATATTGAAGCTGGTGATCTATCCAGTTCATTCCTAATGCAGTGCTGAGTGGAAATCTTACCTTAAACAGACACTCTTTTAAAGATAAGAGAAAAATCTTGACTTCAAGGAAAATCTCCTTAGGCCAGTCAAATTGATAAATTATGAGAATAGTAACGCATATAAAAACACTGATGGCATATCCCAGCACAGTCCTAGCTACTACTAATAATAATTTTGTTGTGGTACCTTTAAAAAAAATCAATCACGACAATACTTTAGGCAATTAATTACAAATATTATTTAAAGAAAGAAAAAAAGTCAAGACAGAGGTCAGACCTCTCCAGACTGCAAGGAAGAGGCAGGACCAAGCAGAGATACTGGTGGAGCTCTCATCCTCTCGAGCTGCAATTGTGCGTGGAGGATGACTTACAGACAGAGGTAAATTATCACCGATAAAGAAAAAAGGTGGGTTTCCTAATGAGGATATAATAAAAAAAAGGGACTGTAGTTTTCACTACAAATATCAGAAACACCTTTTCAAACAATTTCACAAAAACAAATATGGGCATGTGGGAGAGTAGACTGTGAATTAAAGCTAATTTCTCCATACATGAGATCCCAAACAAAAAGTGATGGAAGATTAGCACCCTGTACCTCTTATCCACATTACAGATACTTGTATAACTGAGCAGACTAGCACTGAATTTCCTTTTTAACCCTTTCTACAATCCTGTCACTCTAATTCAATCTAAATGGCAACATGTTCCATTATGTCATATGCTGGGCTTTGTACAGCAGAGCCAGCAACTATTTATTTGTTACCTATAGTAAAACCAAAAYAATTACAAGCATGTCTGTATTTTTGTGTGAAAACAAATAAACAAAACAAAACAATGAAGCCCTAGCTTGACAGGTTGTTTTTTTCATCAAGATGCTTTGGTGGAGGTGAAACTGTGTATTTACTTGCAATTAATTCCTTTTAGTAATTTTAAAAGTAGAAAACAATCCTATTCCTAAAWCTTGAAAACAAAAAATTTCACTATTAAGAAATCTTATGAAGCAGTTTAGTTACCTCGCAAGTACCACTGCTAGCAGTCTCCTAGTTTAACAACCTAACAGAAGATTTATTTCAAAGTCAGCACTGGTTGCATTATTTCCAATCTTTTGAATGATATGTCCTCAAAAAGTGTGAAAAAAGATGGAGTTAATTATTTGACCTTACGTTCAATAAATTGTTCTCATTGCACTACCATCCCTGCAGGCCCAGGAGTAACCATGGTACGAGTATGAGGTGCAGGTATGCCAGAAGTTTTGTGACACAGATAAAAATATCACACTTTTGTGCTGTCCCTCCACCCCAACGCTGCCTCCACCTCGCCTGGGCAATCATCACAGGACAGGAGGCAYCAAGGTGGGACATTGTTTTGTTTAGGTTCAGACAGATTCTTTCTTCAGAACTGAAATTAAGGAGACCCAATTGCAGCAATTTCCCCCTTTTTTAACCTCATTAGCTCCCTGAATGATTCCACTTTGCTTMACAACTGGCAAACCTGCATGAACTGCACTCCAGGGATGGACCCATCTGCGTGCAGTACTCAGGACCATAAGATCTCAGATCCAAATGTTACCATAGGACAAAGAGTTTGTAACAAGATGATTTAACATCTCTAGATCTCCTGAAGAATTTGGTCTAGAGGTGGTTTCTACCAAAATGTTAGTGCCTATGAAGGACAGTTATATTTATCCAGGATATTTACTGTAGATCTGGAAAATGCATCGGTAAAACTGGAAAATCCTTGACAGAATGGGCATATGTCATAAATACTGCAACTTTAGCTTGTATTAACAAGCCAACCTCTCAGATGAAAACCCTTTTTTTAAAAAAAAAACTTTTTTTCTCCCTCCACACACAATATGGGCATTCATCACTACAAGCACTTGAAACCACTTCTGCCTCCAAATTCATTTGCACTGAAGTGCATGTACTGTGAAAGATGCTGATCAGACTGGAGATGAAAGTCACTGAGCAGCAATGACATTCAGCAACTTCTCRTCTCCCAGGCTTATGCTCACACCATGGTACTCACCCTCTATCTCAAAACAGGAAAAATCCATGAAGAGTTATCAGCCACTAGCAATGTGGTGTTTATTTTCATCATCTGCAGTCTGCCTCAGTTTTTTCCTCTCCACAACTACTAGCACATAATATAGCCCATATACCACAAGGCTTGTTAAGAGAAACATGTATCGCAACATTAAGGTCTAGGAGAAGCTTAATTCRTTTTATTCAGAGCTTTTTCAGCACTTCAGGTTCTTTTGCCGTGATTTCACCATTTCAAAATACCTTCTTTTTCAGTACTTTTTTATTTAAATGAAAAAACAAAGGTATATATATATAAATATACTATTACAAGAGGATCTAACAAACACAATCAACAAATTTAGCCTTAGACTGAAACACTCAGTAAATCATGGATATTAAAAAATCATACCAGATTGCASGTCAACCGAAGGAAACTCAAACAACTTGGATTTGTAAACAGAGTGGAAATGGAAGTCATCCTGAAATAGTAAATAATTGCACATATTAAACCAGGARAAATTAATCCATCTCATGAGCATTAAACAGACAGTTCCAAAGGTTCTTGCTACCCAACATACACACCAGTGAACATGCAAGTTGCAAGGCACCATTATCTACATTCTTCTTTTCCCAACTGCAGTGTGATTGCTCATGCCACAGATAATCACCATTTATTGGAAATATCCAAGTGCATGGAACACAGTGGCTGAGCACACCTAGAGCTAGGCTTAAGCTTGGCTCCCAGAGCTGCCCAGGGAGAGTCAATGAGAGCCWCAGGAGCTGCTGAACTGGAGYCAAGGATGAGCCAGGAGGAGAGGGRTATCACAAACCCAGAGCAGGAGGTGCCAAAGAAGGGGACAGGGCACTCACAGGCTCCTGCTGCTGCCTCCAAGGGACCCTCATCTGGTGCTGCACTGCTCCAGAGCAAGCACTTACATAGAGAGCCACCACTGCCTAATTTTTGGAGGTCTGCTTTTGTCTGTGAAGATGGAATCTCACATGCAAGCTGAGTTGGAATGAGGGGATGACCCTTTGGTCCAATGGCCTCATGCCTGCACCCATGGATAACTGCACTCAACAAACACAGCAGGATTACTCTAAATTCTACTTACATCTGAAGTGTAGTTTTCATCTGGCTCAATAAGGAAAGTATGATTCCCATCATAGAACATCCCACTGTCAAGAGCAGGAAATGTAAATACAGATTTAATAAACAAATACTAGTACAACATAGAAGTAACTTCTCAAAGTTAATATACTTTAACAMTGTAATATTTAGAAAAGGAAGAGTTTCAAATTGTTTCAGGAACTGAATGCAAYTGTGGATCAATCTTCTGTTTCTTCACTTCAAAAAGATTTTCTCCTGCGGTGAAGCAGGCTTTTCTTTCTTCCACGAATCTGCTCTACATCACATTTAAACACCACAAAATGGACTAATTTAGCCAGTAGAAAATCCAGTTCAAAGCCCCCGCTCCCATGCAATAGATAGCTACCTGCAACACATAAATAAGGGACCTGTCTTTAGGAACACACAACATATGCATAGCTTTCTCTAAATAAAAATGTTATTGAATTGAATTATTCTTAGATTTTAATGGGTTTTTTATAAACTCTTCCCTAAGCATTTAATTTAAAGTGTTGATACAAGCATTAAAMAAAGGTTATCCTTTTATCAATACATTGTGATCTTCAACCAAATCAGAATATTTTTTTAAATAAATTTGCCTGTATTGAAGTTGCATRCACACATGGTTGGAATTAGGCTGTATCAGCATGCCCCTTTCAAAGGGCAACTACTAAGGTGTTTAAGCTCAGCCATAAATATGAGCTGTAAGTTCAAACTCRGCACATGGCACACAACAACAGTGGCATGAAAGCGACATAGTTTATTTATTTGCATTACTCCTAAAAACACCCAAAACAAACAGGAGTTGTAAGCAACAAGACCAGATGCTTTTCTTTTTTTATATGCAGCATTTTTTTTAATCCCCAAAGTTGACATTCACAGCAGTAACCTGGGTTCCTGACTGTATAASATGTRTCAARTGCGAGCATAACTACAAGGTAAAGMTGTTTCACCTTTCAAACTACCTSTGCCCACTYTTTATAAATAAATACTGTCTATACACCTAAGCTTAATATTCTAGCAGCTGATGAAGCTTCTCAGCCTGGGAAAAAGAAGAGATCGGGGAAGATTCGGTAGCTCTTTATCGGGCAAAACTTCCCTCTAATTGCAGTTTTAGTTAGGCGTGACCTGCAAGCAGTGTCAGTGAAGAGCTTCTCGTGAGACTGCTGCTCCCAGCAGCACTGACCTCTGACCGAGCCACTCAGCAGTGACAAGAATAATAGCCACAGCCGACCCACAAGAATAATAGTCACAGCTGACCCACAAGAATAATAGTCACAGCTGACCCACAAGAATAATAGTCACAGCTGACCCACAAGAATAATAGTCACAGCTGACCCACAGACCCGAGCTGCCCACTCAAAGCATCCATGGCTCTTTTCCAACCAGCTACCATGTAGTGGTGTGTGCTCTGAGCAAACCACACGCTCGTGGATGTGTTAAAGAGAAAGCAATAGCAAAACCTTTCAAAAGCCTGCATTTCCACGCTGTGTACTCTTCAATGATCACATTTGCAGCCGGGAAAGCCTAACTCCCAGCAGCGCCGGCAGTTTTTCCATTGGCCACMAGCCGGCAGCAATGTCCCAGCCGTGCCCGCTGTGCCCTCGCCTCCCTCGCTRCAGCTCCTGATATCCCAGCAACCGCTGGCGTCTGCATTCCAAACCTTTTTGTGTTCACTCACAGGAAACCGTGGATACTGCATATCCCACGGAAAACAAAACACAAATCCAAGCAAAACGGCTYGCTCGAAGGTAAGGTTGCAGAGATATATTTGTCTTCAGCCAAGTCATTAAGAAGACGTCCATAATTTCAGGTATTCCGTCAGCCAATCATGCGATCAATTTAATTAATAAAAGGAAGGACACAAAGCAGACATTGCCAACAGAAGAACTCATAATTTATGATTAAGAACCCCAACATTTTTTCATATGTATGAAAAATTCTGCTGTTTCTGGCCAAGATCTAGAGGTACCGATACACAAAAGAGGAGACTGGCATGACCTTTAGAAATACGAAGCATGTTATTCTCTTAAAGACAACTCCTCTGTCTTATGAACTTCCCAAAATTCATGAAGGCAAAGGTCCTGCCCTGCAGACTTTATAGAAGACAACTCTGCCCAGATAGACTTACTCCAGCAAGATGCTCCAAACTGTGGTTGAAGCTARGGAGCTCTGATTGCCATAATGAGTTTCCAGTAATGCCTTTTATCATTTAAAATCAGCTGTGTAGGAGCTAGTTGTAATAATAGAAATGGAGTGTCAGAGAATGTGAGTTAAATACAGCTCAGGAAACACTACTTTCTAATACTGGATGCTCAAAATACCAGCCTGATTAGAGTAAGCTTGGGTGAAGGAACTCAGTGGAAACTTCATTATATCAGGGGAAAAAAATAAAGGGGGGAGAGGAGGGGGGAGAGACTGGGAGATACCTCTCAAGGGAGAGCTGAATTATACAACTAAAAAAATGCCTCATTCATCATGTAACTTTAGAAGAGACCAATTTTAATATCAAGCCGTTTAAGAATACAGAGCAATAGAACCATCAGTTTTAAGCATAAACCCACAAAAAAGGGGCAGCAAGACATATGCAGGCTCCCCTTCCTGCCTGCTTTTTCTCCCAAGAGTTAGCAGGGGCCAGGACCTAATGGATCACTGCTAATGGAAGCCATGGAAGCCATGCAGTGGCTCAGGATGCATTAGGAAGCTACTATTTTTAGGCTCACTGTCCATATTTCAAACTGSGCTCAAGTTTCTTGAGCTGCACAGCTGTAAATCAGACAAGTGCAAGGATGGTTAAGTCCTCCGCATGCATTCTCCCCTTCAACACAAAGAATAAGCAAAGCAGCTGTAAAAGAAAGCACTTATATGACTGATACCATAACCAGAGAATAGTTGYAGATAGACAAGAGGCTGAAGAGGATTTCCATCAGCTAAACCCTGCTTYCACAGAAAAAGGTAAAGCTCGTATGATCTCCACACAGGCTCACTTGCTGCCATGACTTTTCAAGCTGCTGTCACTGCTAAAAGCGCTGAGATCCTGAAATTCCCAGATGTGACAGGCATTTGGTTGATCTGAAAACCTGACTAGYATCATGCAATAGTGCCAAAAGTAGTGGCAATCAATACACAGCTTTCTGCAACCAGAAGCTTTAATTATACTACCAGTAAAATTATGTRCTTCAAAGAAAAAAATATTGCACCCTCTTATACCTTTTCTTCTAGATTTTTTGAGATTTTATAATATCCAAAGCATTATCCCATACACACAGCTTAAGGCCAGTAATTCTGTTAAAAAAAATGGATAATGCAAGCTAAACTCTAAACTGACATTTTCTTTGTAAAGAGACTAGAAAAGAAATAAAATATAAATCATTATAGCAACAAGAAAAGAACACAAATTCCAAATGATTCATTGGCTTTGTTTTTATTYTTGCAGAATAGGATGTTTTCAGCTACTTCTACTCTATAATAAATTACCTTAAAAGAATACCTGGCCACTGCCATAAGTCCTCAGTTTAGGATAAAAAAAGGGAATTCTGAAGATTGTTGAGTACTTAATTGGTGACAATCTAGCAGGAAAATAAACTGCTCTTATTTTACTATATACATATATTATTAAGAATAACTTGATTTTGCTTAAAACAGTAATAAACAAAGGTCAGTAAAAACAAAACAGCAGACTTACTGTAATCCATGGCATGTTGACAAGGCAACATATGATACAGGATTTCCTCGTATTTTTCCCTGATAATAGCAATGTTCTCCTCCCTGAAATTGGAAATTGAGACTGTAAATCCACGGGACATCCCACAGTGTCACACTCCATCCAGTCAAAGGCTTTTTTTTCATAAACACATTGCCAAGTCATTGGCATGGCACCAAGAATTGACTGTTGCTCATAAGGATGTTCACCCCATCATCTTTGAGCCACGGTTTGATACTCAAACACCATCATCTTGACACTCGACACCAAATGGTGTGTTTCACAATTTCAGTATGGAATCCCTGACATCCTGACAAGGATTTCAGAGATAAATTACTCCAGAAGTGCTCATCCTTCTTCATTAACTAGAAAAAGAGATGGAAGCAGGGGCTCAGACTCAACATCTGCTCTGCATATGACTACATAAGACAAGATGAACTCTGCTCTGAGGGTGAGGCAATTTCCTTTCTCTTAGGAGAAAGGTATGCTTACCAAATAATAATAATCCTTGATTGGAAAAAAAGACTGAATCAGAAGTAATCATGAGTGCTGCAAAACAAATGAAACTAAGAAAAACTAAGTAGCAATGGAATACAATCAAAATGAATATTTGCCTCTTCTCTTCTGCAAATAAAATGTATACATTTCAACTAAAATCCAGCAGATTTGACTCAAAAAAATTCCACCCTTGGTCTCACTGATAGGGATGTAAGCCCTACTGCACTTGTAATAAATGTATTCAGTATTGCACAATGTCAATTTTGTATGCAAAATTAGAAACACAATTCAAACATTCCTTAAATTCTCACTGCCATCTACTCTTCAGAAAAACTTCCCTATTAGTGCCTTGCCAAATTCAGCTGTGTTGTAATGCACTAACATTGGTTAAAGGACTATGAAGGAGGTTTTCAGGGCTTTTCTTTTTTTTTTTTAAATAGCATTTATTTGCAAATACTTGTTCCAGCAAATGTATGAATAATCTACGTAGCCTAATGCACCCAGCCCTGTGAATATTTATGTCCATTTACTGCAGGGAGGGAAAGGCATTACAATTACAGCTTTTTCAGAAGCCAGCAGTCTCTTACATCACACACAGCAGTCATTTTGGACACTTGACATTAAATACTGCTGGATTTTATTTTACAAATATGAAAAAGAATAATCAAAATCAGGCTAAAGATAAGAAAATACATAGGACATGTTGTTAGTTTTCTGTTTTGATCAGGAAATCCTGTTCTGTTTTCTACAAAATGTGGAAACTATTGTTGAAATCAGCTATGAAATATGGGTGCCTCTGGTTTGTGGTGCACTGTAAGACAGCACAGGAGCCTGTTTGTCAGAGCATGGCTGCTCACAGGGAAACACACTCGACCAGCCTGGTCAATGGAAATCATTCTTTGCTCCTCAAGTTATTTTCTGCAGTGCAGCACACCTGGGGCAGGTCCCACTGCCACAACCAGCAACATCAGCAGTGCTGAGGAGAAATGCAGCTCCTGACCCCCACACTGTGGTTCTGACACTCCTTGCCAGGCTGGCTGCTTCACTCTGCAAGACAATCCCTGTGGTGTATTACCTTCCATCAGCAGTGTTACACCTTTCCCCCCACCCAGTTTCTCCCAACCTCATTATTTCCTTTCTTTCACACACCATTTTTCCTTCCACTTGCTGCAGTGACTGCCCATCCACCTCGGGGTCTGTCCTTGGAGCAGACACAGGACACTGTCACCAGACTGATGTGGCCAGTCCCCACCCCTGTGCTGCCCACACGGGCACCTCTCTGATGGTTTTCTGAAGGGAAACTGGTGCCACACAGGCAATGTTTGACTCCCTGTCTCACCTTGGGAAGGAGCTCTGGAGCTGACCATACCAGGCTACAACAAAGTGTATGACCCATCACCCTTGGACCAGCATTTCTCAGCACTATTGCGCATTTGGGGCACAGATCAAGTATCAGTGAGGAGATGGTTTTAATTTTTGCTTCCTCATGTACATTGTAGCCACCTGTATTAAGTTAATTTAATTTCAGAGAGACTGCATCCTACTTGGTTTTTCCTGAAAACTTGGCTCATTTTCTCCTCCTTTCCTACACCTATTCAGTTCCTATACCTTAGCTACTTTAAGCTCTCTTCACTTGAGATTTTCTTTCTTTCAGTCTGTGGGGTGTTCCCCACTACAGGATCATGGGATTGCTTAAGGATTTCAGGTCCTTTTGGAATACGTGAATAAGAAGTAAACAAAGAGACACTCCAGTAAGCAAATAGCAAAACTAACCTCAAACTACATGGATGACCTAAAACCTTATGAGCAATGAAATACTCTCTAAAGTGTACCCTTGAAGTGGTATTCCTGTAAAAGATATAACTGGAATAAGTGCGTGAATGTGGGAATAATACCCAAAAAGACTATCAGTAGGGAGTTGTACAGACTTCTAGCTGTGGAAGGAATTTGGAGTAATTACACAAATTGGTTTGTTCTCAGAAAATGTAGTTAATATGTACCAGAAATAGAATCTCAGGCTCCATTAGTTTGCAAAACCATGTCTTTGCAACCAGGAGGAACATTTTTTCATACTAAGAATCCAGTCTGTGGCTCAAAAGTGTGTTTTGATCTTCCTAATGAGAATCAAATAAATGCCCCATGACAGTACCTCCAAATTAATTTATTCTATAATAAATCCATGGGAAAAAAATTATGCATACAGATCTAGAAAAGAAAAATATAAGAAAAACAGTTCTAAATTCTTGTTTGGGAGAAATACAACTCAGAAACACAAATTCTATTTTAWTTAGTCAAATTAATTCAACTCAACAATCTACTAGAGTCCATAGTAATTCTGGTGGAGATAGAAACACAGMTCTGATCTCATTCTCAGGGACCAAWTCTTATCACTACAAAACATTCATTTCTACATGATAACATCTGGGAGATATTTTTTATGTACTTACTTATGTTCCTATCACTATAACATACGTCACTTCACACCTGTTCATAAAATTAACTTAAGCTAATAAAATTTATTTCCATTTCTTTAAATGAAGGTAGATTTTTCTCTGAGTACTTCATGCAAGAGATTATCGCAGCTGGTTAGAGCATGGTGCTAATAACACCAAGGTTGCAGGTTTTAGTCCAGTATGGGTACTTAAAGCCACAAAATTCTGAGAAGTGTTCAAGAAACCACTGGATGTGGCCCCCAGTGCTATGGTTTAGTTGGCATGGTGGCGTTTGGTCAAAGGTTGGACTGAATGAACCTGGAAGTCATTTCCAGCCTTAATGGGTCTATGACTGTCTGGTTCTGTACTGAGAGTCAGAGCACACGAAGGGACTCTACAGGTCACTTTTTCTTTGGAGCATGTGTAACATAAGAAATTTACTGTTGTCACCTCACTATAGCGATGAAGCTGAAACTGTGCTGGGTTTGACCTGTACTAAAGCTGTTTTATTGCAGGTGCTGCAATAAATACACTGCACTAGAGGAGAAATTGCAGTTTGTGGAAGATCTAAGACCACCAAAAGACTAAACATAATCATCATATCTACCTTTACTCTGCTCTTGGAAACACTGCCTGGAGGACTCGGGTTGTCTCTCTTACCTACTGGTATCTGTAGCAGTGAGACAAAAGCTGAAAAAAAACCCCTTTCTTTTTTCCTAAAAATATTCTGGTCCTGTATGAAAATTAAAACTTCCCTTAAGAGCTGAAATTAGCACCAACAACAGTCCAGCTGAGAACATCAAGGGTGTTTTGTGAAGAGCTATTGGCTTCCTGTAGCTAATGGAGCCTCTCTCTGCTCTCTCAAAAGCAGTAATTGCTCATCTCAGCAAGTCAAACCTCCACACTGGCCTTGGTCAGCTACTGGGGATGGCTCAGTGTAAGATCAGAGGAAACCAGATCTCTCTTCTAACATCTGCCAGACATAACTGTGAGAAGCACATTTACCCATTTCTGCTCTAAAACTGAACCTGGTCACTCTAGTGTCTGGGAGAAAATTAGGATAAATGTCATCTCCTATGAGACATGGTCAGCCTGGTGACAATGGCAGTGACACAAACTTGCAACACACCCAGGCACACCCTCATGCCATATCCAAAGGCAGGTTAATGCTCCAGCAGAGAAAAGCTCAACATTTTTGCCTCCACAAGGCACACATCCACGTTTCATGCTGTGGTTTGCACCATGCTAGACAAATTCTCTGCCAATGCCCATAACACTTTTTTGTCCATTTCCTTGGATGATTAAGTTATCCTTCTTGCATGAACCTTCTCAGCACAACGGACAACCCAGTGGCAATGTTCAAGGGCAGTACAGAAAATACATATTTTTCACAAGAAATATGATTATTGATTTGGGGTGCCAAAAATGTAATAACATCAAAAAAAAAATAAAAATAAAAAAAGGACCCTAGGGTCAATTAAAACAAGTTAATCATTATGATAGTGGCCAGTTCATGAGACAGTCTTCATCTTGACGCTTAAGTTGGCTAATTATAGCAAAATCCTGAATTAGGGGTATTTGCCCTGCAAACTGCTACAGCTCATCTTTACCAAGTGCAACCCTTTTGCCCATGTCAGTACAAGATTTCATGCAGCCTGTCAGGTAGGTAGTGTGGCAAAGATATTAAAAGATTTTAAGACAGATGTCAGCAACGCAAGTAAAATCCATCCCCATTTTTATCCTTTAAGGTAGTTTGTCCCTGCTTTGGGAGGCACCAGCTGCTGAGCAGACACAAAAGACATGAAAAACACATTAACCAACACTCATAATGAAGGGTGGAATAAGTAAAGCAAAAGAACAGCCCCGACAGTCATTAATGGCAGCAGTTCACTCTTCTCTGCAGTCACAGTGCAGAAAGCATCTGCTGACCATACACTGGCAGGGTTTGTTATTCGCCTCACAGACACCATGACCTTCCCAGGGGAGGAAAATAAAGATGCACATTCATCTGCTCTCTACACTGGATCTCCAAGTAAGCCGTTTTCTGCAGTAAAATTCATGCGACACTCGGGCACTGACCCTAAAATTAATACCTTCCTTCTCCTACATGTTCCTCTTTTAACACTCATTTATCCAA